TTGTGGGCAAAACATGGCAGCCAATTGCGCACAGCAGTGTCCCGCAAACAGTTGTGGATTGAAGTCACCAATTTATTATTTTTTTTGAAGGATTTATTACCCCCTGGAAAGGCGATCCACCAATCGACAAACAACTGGGTTCCTACTTACTGCTCGCTAAACAGAGGCGTGTGGAGTAAGGAAACTTGCTCAACATTTCATCCTGCCCGGGAATCGAACCCAGGTCTTCTCGCTTGCGAGCCGAGTGCTCTAACCAGTAAGCTACAGGACTGAGCTTCAAATCCCTTTGAAAGGATTGTATTGTAAAGAGAATACTGAATGAGAGTGCATGGTAACAGTATTTGGCTTTCACTTTATCCAGACATTCCGACCATAACTCACTGGCAGATATAAAAGCTATTTAACACAGTGATCTATCTGTTCGGTGCAGTGTTCTGCCTGCTTAAAACGATCAGCTGCAAATCATTTTAATAATTCAACCACTCTACACTTAGCAGCTTTCAAGTAAGTTCTTTTATATCAAATCGTCCTTTTGAAAAAAAAATCTACCGCCTCGCCACCAATTTCTCCGCACTCACAACAGAAACTGTTTGCTGGTCCTCTCAACATTGACCCTAACAATATTGTGGGAAGGGGTTCTAACTGCATTCTGAATCTTCAGAGAATTACAGGTGCTTTGAAGATAAGGAGCTCTTATTTTCCTCTACTTTCTCCGTTTAGCAAACCGCTTGCCAACAGTACTGTGTGGATGTGAATCTGAGAGATTAATCCCAGAGTATTGATGTGAACATTTTGCTTCAATTTAGACAGTATTCCCTAACCGGCTAGTCTTTTTTTTAAATCTTAGACTCACAGGAGTTAGATGTCCTGGAGTGTGAAATAGATTCCTTTACACTGTGTGTCTACACCCTTGTGATTTGCGCATTGATGGCTTCCAGGCTGATATTCCAGCCAAGACATTGGAAACCCATAACATCCCTAGTGGGATATCTATTGTACTATGTCTATGTGAGCAGATATACTTAATACCAATGGATCTCCACAAGATAGGTCAGCACAACTTGTGGGAGACTGTTGAGATAGGTACATACTCAGGAAGTAAGGGTGTTAAGGAGTATGGAGAAAAAAGCCACGATTGGATCTCCCTCGATCTAATAAACCAAATGGAACAGGCTCGATGGGCTGAATGGCCTCCCCCTGTTTATGTTTTCCTCGCAGATTAATTGTACACCTCATCACGAGTAAAAAGGCCACAAGTGACACAGATCACACTGGAAGACAAATCCTACTATGCAGAAATGCAAACAAATCACATAAGAGGTGTCAAAGGGATAGAAAAGGCCTCATGATTACTGGCATAAAGAAGCCAAGAGGGTGACATCCTCTGGAGGCCAGAAAACCACCTGACTCCGTTTCTCTCCTCTCCGGATGCTGATCGCTCACCCATTGAGATGTGCTTCCACCGGTAGGTCACCCACGCCAAATACTCTCCAGAATTAAGTGAACAGAATGCGCCCACCCACCCCACCACACCCCCCCACTCTCCCCACTTGGATTCCAATTTGCCCACAAAACATACAGTCAATTCGCTTTATGCTATATCCTGTGAAGCACTTTGAGACGTCTCGAAGACGTGATGAGGAGCTGTATCAAATGCAAGGATTATTATTATTTTTGTCTTGTCTTATTTTTTTCTAATACTGCGTGTCACACCTTGGGTTTTACTTCAGGACAATCCCCGAAGTAGCCCGAAAGGGTAAATTCAACTCAGGCAATTTGATAAACAGACGAATAGCCCAACAGTCAGATAAGCAGGTGATACAGAGAGATAACTTGCACTCATCACTCTGAGAAGTCCTGTCAACCCAAGATAACCGCACTCTCAATCCAAACGCAGCAAATCCAATACACTGAGAGAAAAAAAAACACCCTCATCTCATTCGCTCCAACAGCGCATCATTCCTGATCCACGTGGAGTAGTCGAAACGCACTTAAACCGAGACTGAAATAAACGATTTTCGTATCGGTGTGCCTTGATACTCAGGAGCAACCAGAGCCAGATTTCTTTCTGGGCAGATGCTGTCTTGGTTAAACAGGCACCCACTAGTCTCCATGAAAGTGTTTGTGGGGAGAGAGGAAAAGGAGGGAGGAAGGGAGGGAGAAGGAGAGAGAGAGAGAGAGGGGAGGGAGGGAGGGAGGAGCCGTGGGGATCTTTTGTTTTCACGACACGTAAATCGGGGCGATGATCTGTTTCAGCACAACCTTCAGAAAATTGGTCACTCGTTTTCACGGCTGTTTGTGGGACGCTGCCGCGCGCGATTCTGCTGCCGCGTGCGCCTGCAAAAACCCGGAGTCGCTTCGTTCCCGCAATAAATCCTGCGAAGCGCTTTGAGACGCCCTTCGACGCGCTAAGCTGCTGTAGCAAATGCGAGGAGTACGATTGTTATTACCACTCGACAATCGCGCCACGAGTTCGCGCTGACGACGTTTTCCAAAGGGAACGGAATCGATGGAGACAGAAATAGCTTTTGAGACAAACGAGGAAACCACGGAACCTAATAAATTATAAGGTGTTCCCCCCACTCACCCACCCACCCCCCACCCCCCCCCCCAAAAAAAAATAGGTACCCATTGATGATCATGATCTGAGTTTGTCAATGATTAATGCAGTGGAATGAGTGAGTACCTGAATTGCAATGAGAATGCGCCACCTCTCGGTGACAGGTGTAATTACCGCACAGATACATTGAACAGGTATACAGCAACATAATATAATAATAATAATAATAATAATAATAATAATAATAATAATCCTAAATAAACCCAGCCAATTCCTATTAGGATCCAATGTCCTGAAAGAGAGCGACCAATATATGTATATCTATATATAGGTATATCTATATATATAGATATATCTGTATATATATATATATGGATATATAGGTATATCTATACATATATACACAAATAGATTTGGCTGTAACAAAGCACTGACAATTCTCACTAAAAATCCTCACTAACTTGTCAAATACTATTTTCCCCACCACTTAATCGAAAATATCCTTTTATATCACCACTCCCCTCCAAAGCCACATCTACCACACACGTTGGTGCATATATATATATATGTATATATATATATATATTATGTAAAACTCAACCAACCGGGGAGCAATTTTCTCTTTCACTTTTAAAATAAAAGCCAAATAAATCACTGGGGTGAGGGTGGTGGGATATTCAAGAATGGGGCTCAGAAGCCTTAGCATTTAAAACTGAGCTGCAGCAAAAAATAACATTCGTTCTTGTGTTGTTGTTTTTTCCCCAAAAAGATTCCCCACAGCTTTTAATCTTGCAAATCTAGGTCAGGGAGAAATGACACACAGCCAGGGCTGTTAGGATCAGAAAGCTGGAAGGAAATCCGTTGTGGAATTGCGAGTATGTGTGTGGGTGTGTGTGTGTGTGCTGGAAGGGGCTTTAAATAATATCTACTTTTACTGACTATTTTTTCGTGCAGAAAAAAAATACACAGCCATTGCACTCAACAGTCAAATCCTGCAACCCTTTCAGACTTCTTTCCGACCTTTACATCCAACCCTACAGCCAACTCCAGGATTATTTAGGTTTTATTCTTATTGTGGAATGAGGCAGACAGCAAACCATGTAATTAATCTCTGGAGACAATATTGTATTAAAGGCAGTCCCTCCCTCCCTCTTCCTTGCCTTTAAATCTCTTTAAGTGTTTAAATGCCAATTAAATGCAACTGCAAAATATACATTTACAGCAAAAATCCTTGCGACGTGAAAAATGCTGTATCAAATGCAAAGGATTACTAATATTATTATTAATGTGACCCCCAAAATGTGCAGTATATCGCCCTGAAAGGGTTTCCCTTCCTGCTTTGTCCAGTGTTGGTTGAATTCTTTACTGTTTGGCTCCACACACACACACACACACACATACACACACAGTGTGTTTGAAGGCTCAGGTACCACTGAAGAGTTAATCTTCAGTTATAAAGGCTGCGTGGGGCTATATTATACACCCACAGCTCTCAAAAAACACAATCTGGTAATATTACACGATCTGCGGGTATTATTCTGGGGATGGGGACGTTTCAAACACATAAGTAGTTTGCTTAAAGAAAAGATTTTTTCAATAAAGAAGCACATCCAGCAGCACCCTAGTCTGCAGACTGTTTTTTTTCCTCCCAACACACAGCAACCAGCCAGCGTGGCTCTGTCTGCAACTTGGGAATGGAGTAACTTCATGAAGGCAATGCCAATCCCTTCGCCTGCCTCCCTCCCTGGCCTCCTTTCAAGGCACATCTCAAGAGCCTCTTCTTTGACCGTGCCTTCGGTCACCCTCCTGCTACCCCCACCCCAAACCGCCTCCACCACCCCCCAACCCCAACCACCCTTACCCTCCCCGCCCTCCACCCCTCCTGATCCCGACCCCCAGGTCGGGTGCAAATTTTGTGCGCGATTGGCTGTCGCGTTTCGCCCACAAAATATACGGTCAATTCACTCCACGCTGTATTCTGTGAAGCGCTTTGAGACGTCTCAACAACGTGATAAGGTGTTATATCAAACAATGCAAGGATTATGATGATGATGATTATTATTATGAAATTCTCGGCTGATCAGCCGAACGCCTTGTGACGTCCTCCAGACGTGCAAATATAATTTCTAATATCAATAACAATAATAATAATAATAATCCTTGCATTTGACATAGCGCCTGATCACGTCTCGGGAGACATCTCACTGCTTCACAGAATATATGACGACGACAACAACAACGTGCGTTCGATACAACACCTTATCGCGTCGCGGAGTACGTCTCAAAGCGCTTCACGGAATATACCGCAAAGTGTATCGACTGTACATGTTGTGTGCGAAACGTTGTGGTGGTGGTGGTTGTCAATGACCAAATAATTGATTGATTGATTAGCTGATTAATTGACAGACTGACTGACTGATTGATTGAGTGCTGTATTTACCTGCCAGGAGGCTGACGCGATGTCGGCGAACTTGCCCAGCCCACCGAAAGTGTAACAGTTGTAAACGCTCCCGGAGCAGTGCCAGAGCAAGCCGAAGCTCACCGAGTCTTTGCTCTGATCCCGGACGATCCAGGCCGGGGAGATGAAGCTGAAAGTGCAGACGGCCAACAGGCAAGAGGAGAGCAGAACCCACAGGCAGCTCACGCAAGACAGCATCCTCTGCGCCCGCAGCAAACTGCCCACTGGCAAGTCCAGGAAACCCAAACCCAATTCCACTCCGCCTTCTTTCTTTTTCCGATCCAAGAGCGAATGCATCTGGAAACGACACCTGGATTTCGGATACTGGATGTCTCCCTCTCTCGCTCTCTCTGTGTGTCTCTGCCTGTCTGCCTGTCTGTCTGTCTCGCTCTCGCTCTGTCTCTTCAAACCTTCACATCAGAAACTGACAAGAGTCCAACGATGTATTAAAGTAACCCTCTCCACACACACCCACCCACCCCCACACACCCACATACATACATACACTCACTCACTAACACACACACACACACTAGCTATTCTCTCCCTCTCCCTAATACCAGACTGTGACAATGTTCTGTCTCTCACTCACACTAACACAGCAGCTATTCTCTTTCTCTCTCTCTCTCTCCCCAACACCAGATTGTGACAATAATCTATCTCACAAACACATACACACACACACACACAAGCTATTCTCTATCTCTCTCTCTCTCTCTCCAACCACTTGACTGTGACAATATTCTCACTGGCAACACACACACTCACTCACTAACACACACACACACACTAGTTATTTTCTCTTTCTCTCCCCAATACTAGATTGTGACAATATTCTCTCTCTCTCACACACACACACATTAGCTATTCTCTCTCTCCCCAACACCAGATTGTGACAAATTCTCTCTCTCTCACACACACACTATTTCTCTCTCTTCCCAACACCAGATTACGACAATATTCTCACACACACACACACACACTGTCTCTCTCTCTCTCCCTCTCTCTTCCCAACACCAGATTATGACAATATTCACACACACACACACACACACTGTCTCTCTCTCTCCCTCTCTTCCCAACACCAGTTTATGACAATATTCTCACTGGCAACACACACACTCACTCACTCACTCACTCACTCACTCACATAGATGCTCACTTGCAAAAACGTTCTGTAGAGGTCGTTTATTTGCAATGCACAATCCTGTCGATCTGGCTCTTTTTTTTTAAGGAAATTGCTAACATTTGCAGTTAAATCTCCTGGATCCAGAAGTTGAGTTGGAATTGACTACTGGTGAATAGTCTTGCGAGACAAAGTGTGTTCTTCTTCCACTCTCCAGGTCTCCCTCTCTCTCTCTCCTCTCTCTCTCTCTCTCCTTCCCTTTCTCCCTCCCTCTCTGGAAAAGGGGGAACAATTTCAGTTTGCTTATCAGATTGGCTGTGGTTTCTCTTTGCATTGCTTGCCAATACCACTAGGAGACAGGTGCCTGCTCTATGTGAACTGAACAAGGAAAGGAGAGAGAATGAGTGAGTGAGTGAGTGAGTGAGTGAGAGAGAACCACAAATCGTCTTGCAAACCCCTTACGAATTGGAATTGGACTCATATTGACTCCCCTGCACAGCCCTGACAACGAGCCCCCGAGCCACATCAATGGGAATAATAACAACAAACAAACAAACAAACAAACAAACGAACAACAATCCACAAATAACAATTTGGTCACTTCAATCCACGGCTGTTTGTGGGGACGCTGCTGTGCGCAATTGGCTGCCGCGTTTCGCTCGCAAAATAGTACAGTCGATTGACTTTACAGTGTATTCTGCGAAGCGCTTTGAGACGTCTCGACGATGTGATAAGGCGCTGTATCAAATGCAAGGATTATTATTATAATGGTAATAGCAGCAACAATAATTTGGTCACTCAATCCACGACTGTTTGTGGGACACAGCTGTGCGCAATGGGCTGCTGCATTTTGCCCACTAAGTATACTCTGTGAAGCGCTTTGAGACGTCTCAGTGACGTGATAAGGCGCTATATCAAATGCAAGGACTATTATTATTATTATTATTATAACAACAAATTGCATTTATGTAACGTCTTTCACCATGGGAGGACGTCCCAAGGCGCTGGACAGTGAGGGGCTTGCATCCAAGCTGTGGGTTGGGATCAGAGAGAGGTGGCGGGCGGAAGGGGTGAGGGGGTGGGGATGGAGGAGGAACGATGACCAGATAACATTAAATAGAACATCAATGTGGGGGAGGGATACTGGGGTAAGGGATCAAGACAGAGCTTTAGAGTTACAGTGAATCTTTCCTGCACTTTCAAACCACTCATCTTTCCTGGCAGACTCCAGTGTAATTTCCCATGCAGGAATCAATGATCTCCCTCCTAAACTCACTCACACAGATAATGACGATAATAATGATAATCCTTCCTTGCATTTGATGCAGCGCCTTATCGCGTCTTCGAGACGTCTCAAAGCGCTTCACAGAACATACCGTAAAGTGAATTATTTGAAAGTTGTTAAAACAGTAGCTAGGATTTGACCACAGCACACGGAGCCCAGGGGATTGATTGACATTTGGACTCGAGAAGCTGTTAGTTCCTTCGGCCTTCACTTCCCCAGGCTCCTGCCTCTGCCTGTCCGGTTCACAGAGGAAATTGGATAAAGTGCAAAGGACGTTGGCACAAGGACATGCTGATCACTTTGCCTGTGGTATAAAAGAGGAGCTTTGCATCCAGATTTAATGTTCGATTGGCTCGGAGCCAATTCAGCAATCCACAGTTGGTTTCTGGAAGGAACAGCAAATTTGACTCGCAGCTAGAATAGGTTGGTGACTCCAGTTTGTCCGACTGATTATGTTGTTAAAATACATGATAAGGATGATGGATGCTCTTAATGTATTGAATTTTTTCCAAATGAAGGCTGATGCACAAAAGGACCAATTACTTTAACTTTAACTCATGAGCTTCCTGGTAGAATTGACAATAATGTTAGTGCTCAGTCTACAAAATGCATAGTCACTACACTTTACAGTAAATCCTTTAACATGTCCTCCCAATTTGAAAGGCGCCATATCAAATGCAAGGAATGTTATTTATTATTATTATTATTATTATTATTATTGCAATCCTATCAAACAAGTCACAATTAACAATATTTAATTAATACAGGTTTGTCTCATTTCTGGTTAACTGTTGTTGATTATCACTGGATAAATTTACTGAGTTCACATTTGTGACTCCTCCGGGTGTGGTGCTCTCATAACACTGAGCTTACTAAACATTGACACCATCCATGGTAGTTTCTGCCAGCAGAAAGACAAATGAGTATGGAATCAAAACCCCTCTATTAAATTCACCATGGATATGTCAAACAAAGCAAATAGATTAATATCAGATCTGAAATCTCATGCGGAGGTTTACAAATCGGAATGGTTCTGCTCTTATAGTTACAATGTCAGGGACTCAGAGATGAATTGCTGGCAAAGGCTTTGTGCTAATTTCCAAAGGCAGAGCATCATAAGCTACTTGACCAAGACTCCACACCAGGGCCAGTTATGGTGCTGTGGTTGGCACATGCCACAGCTCCCACAAACATTCTTAGAAAGTATTTGCGGGCATGGTAGAAAAGTGTTGCTTTCATTTGAATACCCATTCATGTGTGAACTCAGACATCATGCCATAGGAGACATCGCAGGCAAGCTCGAGCTTGTTCTCAGGCACCAACCACACACGCACACGTTTCAACAGGGTCACTGGGTAATGATTAGAAGTCAAAGCCCCGGTTGAATTTTTCCTTTCCCTTGCTCTTGCACACCGAGGCCAATTATGTCGGGCCCCATTACTGCCCCATCATAGATTAGCTTGCTCAGCACAGGCGGGGAATTAAATCTGGGTTTGTACGTCTCATTGAGTAGTCAGGGGAGTCTGGATGGGGTGGATGGCTTCCTTTTGTGTTGAAAACACGAGATGATGCCATAACTGTTGTACAAGAGCACTTACATAATCACCAATAGAGTGCAGCACTGGGCAGAGATGCCCTGTCCCCGAGACAGGAAGGAAATAAAATGAGCACTACTCTGTGTGTGCTGAGATACCGACTCCTCGCCTTATATCTTTTTACATTTGCTGTTACTTTAGACTTAGAGCGTAAGGTTTTCGGAGTTCATGTTGTAGGATAGTCATCTCTTTCCCAATAATGAACTTTTATCAATGGCTTGCTAAAGAAGCCACTTTTCATCACAAAAGACTAAACTAATCCTGAAGTATGTTACAGGGAATTGTCTGAACACTGTTAGCGATTTTGAGGTTACATTCTGAAATTCATGAGAAATTGCGCCACAATTCGCTTGATAAAGCGGCCTATAACTGAAAAGGTTATGAAAATGATCAACATTGACAGCGCTCATGTCTTCATTTTATAATAACGTTACAAAGGCTGTTGCATACTTTTTTCAACATAGCTTTCTGGAGAATTTTGGGGGACATTATGTCATTAAACATTGCCTTGTTATTTTTCTTGTACAAAGTGTCTGCTCTGAAAGTATCCATTAAAACTGAGCCACGTTTTTTTTGTAATTGGACAGAGAAAAAGGGAGATGCAATAGGCGTTTGCCTTTCTGATACCAATGGAGCATATACTGGAGCAAATGCTAGGAATATTATTATATGTCATCTACAATCAGAGAAGAGACAGGAGGAGAGGCAGACGTATATACTTCCTTTAGGGACACCCAATTATTGAGGCACATCAACTCACATCAGGACAATGCATTTAATTACCAGTGGGATGCAATGCAATGGCAGGTCAATTAACTCCTTCACAAAAGAACTGGCTAAGTATCTGTTTGAGAACAATATTGGAGGATATATGCTTTGGTGCAGACTGAATGAACATATTCACATGCAGTGGAAGGAAGGCCAGAATGGTAAAGAAAAGATATTAGAATAGTTGAATATTCTGGAGTTTGTGCTTGATTGCCTTTGAATTCAGGGAATATCTATGCTACACATTCCCAGGAGATACAATGCAGTGAAGATATGATTTGCTAAATGCTGTTGTATTTTTCCATTGGTACAACAAAATCCCATGTGATTTTTAAAAAAATAGAATATCAAGTTTCATTATCTCCAACCCAGTCACTTATGTTTATTAAAACAGTTGTTATTTTATGCCATCGTAATTTTATTTGTTAGCAACTTCTTTGTTTCACGTAAGAACGTGTATTAAATATACAGCTATGGTACCCAGTTCCAGAAGAATTGAAAATGCTTTAAAAGATATATACACTTTTATCTAAATCTATTCAGCAATAGTTTATAAAGACGTCTTTTAAAATAGAACATTGAATGTTCTATGTTACAAGGTGATAAGGATTAGCTTGCCTTAGCTTTGCTAAGATAGAGGTTTACTGTACATGAGATTTCACTATAATTTGATCTGTAATCATTTTAATTTTCACCCCCAAGCAACTTCTGTTTTGAAACAATTTTCTTCCAATATAATTCTTGATAATAATAACAACAATCTTCTCATTGGATACAATACCTGAAACATCTCACAGTCCTTCACATGAAATTGCTGTCAAATGTAACGACTGGGATTTTTGTAGGTAGAGGACCCCACAAACAGCTACGAAGCCAATGACCAATTATTTTGGAGGATTATTAAATGGGACACAACTGAGCACTCTTTCTAGGCAGGTTTTGCATTTCTCAATACATATTCCTTCTTTGAACATGAGAGAACCATTCAATTTGTGATGGTGACACAGCCAAGTTTGACACTAGATAGACATTGGAACATAAGCATTCCGAAACACTGCCCCAAGTGAAGGGTGTTATATAAAAGCAAGTTGTTGTTGTGGTTGTTGTTGATGGTGGACAATGGTTCCTTTATACCTGGTTGTGAACGAGTCTATATAGAGTATCCGAAACAATAGCATTTTAAAAGTTTGCTAGCCCTTATTATACATTAGAATACATTAGAATATACAGCACAGAAGCAGGCCATTCGGCCCAACTGGTCTATGCCGGTGTTTATGCTCCACATGAGCCTCCTCCTGCCCTTCCTCAACTAAGCCTTCAAGCATAACCTTCTATTTCTTTCTTCCTCATGTTCATATCCAGTTTCCCCTTAAATACATCTACGCTATTTGCATCAACAACTCCTTGTGGTAGCACGTTCCCCATTCCCACTGCTCTCTGTGTGAAGGCATTCCTTCTAACTTCCCTATTTGATCTATTTGTGACTATTTTATATTGATGGCCCCGGTTTTGGTTTCCCCTACAAATGGAAACATCTTCCCTATGTCTACTCTTTCAAAACCTTTTCTTTCCTTTTTTTTAACAAAATAGCAGAGGAGATTTCTTTTTAATTCTCACAGTTTCACAGTGGACATTAAAGATTTTTCTTTCTATTTCTTGCTCCGAAGTGACTCTACATCTTTTTTGAACAGTGCCATGGGATCTTTAATGTCTGGTTTGCGATTGTTCATTCTGGGTCAGTCTGAGCTTGTTATTTGTGGCTATGGGAAATCAGTGCCCACCGCATAAGGCTTGAGAAGAGTGACCTTAGGTGAGGCTGAAAGTAGTGGCCTCTTTTGATAATAATCAGACAACGGAGGACATTTGATAAGATGAAACCAGACAAATATGTAAATTTGTGAGACCGCCTCTGAACAGGCAGATGGGACCTCACTTTATCATTTCAACTTTACTACTGTTTTCTGATTCATTAATATATCGGTAAATTTCTGCATTTATAAAAACATTGTGCATTTATATGTAACAGTAACTCAATAATATAAACTATAAATTTATATTTATAGTTACATATAAATGCGCAGTCCTCAGGAAGTTATCAAATGTTCATTTATATTTCTCTGTATAATAAATGTCACTTTTGTAGAGGAAATCCTGGCCGGAGTTATCAAGTAAGGACATTTCTTTTTTATTGAAATAGGATTCACAAAGGAAAATATGATATGCAAAATGGTTAACAAAAAGCAAAGCTAATTGACCCTGAAAGTAAAACACTCCTTTTCAACATAAAAAAATCACACTGGTTCAAGTTATGTATTTAAATGTCAAGTTTGCATATCATCACTTGCCTGTTTATTCATATCTGATAATACAATTTCAATTCATTATATACTGTTACGCGCTCTGAGAACACTACCCTGAATGAAGGGCACTTCATGTAAATACAAGTTGTTGTTGTTGAAGTTGAAACCCAACTAATCTGGTTACGTTGTCCGTAATCCATCCATCCAAAAAAAAATGTAGTCACCCGACGCACAGCTGTTTGTGCGACATTGCTGTGGGCAATTGGCTGCCGCATTTCACTCCCACAAAACACACAATCAATCCAATTTACAATGTGCTCTGTGAAACGCTGTGAGACAGCCCCACGAGGTGATATGGCACTATGGAAAATGCAAGGATTATTATTATTATTATTATTATTATGGAGTCCTGTAGCTCAATGGTTAGAGCGCTCGCCTTGCAAGCGAGTTTCCTTACTCCACACGCCTGATAATAATCCCTCCAAAAAATAAAAGAATAATAAATTGGTAATTTCAATCTACGACTGTTTGTGGGGACGCTGCTGTGCGCAATTGGCTGCCGCGTTTCGCCCACAAATATATGGTCAATTCACTTTACAGCATGTTCTGTGAAGCGCTTTGAGACGTCTGGAAGACGTGATAAGGCGCCACATCAAATGCAGGGATTATTATTATTATTATCATTTGCCATCAAGAACGCAAAAATTTGCTCGGCGAAAGGTCCATTCAGTTTGCCTTCCACCATCCTGGCCGTCCATGCACATGTCATGTCCCAAAATATATTGGTGGGTGGGATGAGGGGGCTCGGCAATTGGGCTACTTGGGCAGTGGGAGGATGGGGGGCTTGGCAATTGGGCTACTTGGCTAATGGGAGGAGGGGAGAGGGGGGCTTGGCAATTGGGCTACTTGGCTAATGGGAGGGGGCTTGGCAATTGGGCTACTTGGCTAATGGGAGGGGGCTTGGCAATTGGGCTACTTGGCTAATGGGAGGGGGCTTGGCAATTGGGCTACTTGGCTAATGGGTGGGGGCTTGGGCAATTGGGCTACTCGGGTAGTGGGCGGGGCTTGGGCAATTGGGCTACTCGGGTAGTGGGCGGGGCTTGGGCAATTGGGCTACTCGGGTAGTGGGCGGGGCTTGGGCAATTGGGCTATTTTGGGGCGCCTTCGGGGCTATTTCCGCGGCGGCGCGCGGGGCGGGGCGGGGCCGTTACCCGTGATGCTCCGCCTGCGAGCGGAAAGGAAAGGAAACGGAAGGCTTTCGGCGGCCGATCGCTCAGTCGCTGGTTCCCCCCCTCAGCCTCCGCCTCCGCCTCCGCCTCAGCCTCCGCCTCGCTGATGGCCGGCGCCGCGGGCGGGCGGGCGGGAGTATGAGGAGGAGGAAGTCGTCGCCGCCGCCGCCTGACAGCTCTCGCCCTCCTTCCTCCTCCTCCTCCGCCTCTCTTCCTCCTCCTCCTCCTCTCGTGCTGTCAAGTGAGCCCCGGGAGACCGGCCATGCACTGAATGACCCGCGAGGGGGGGAACGGCTTCCGCACGATGTCATTTTTTAGGAGGAAAGGTAAAGGTTGGGGGAAGGGGGTGTGAGGGGAGGGGCTGAGGTGAGGGGGGGCTGAGGTGAGGGGGGGCTGAGGTGAGGGGGGCTGAGGTGAGGGTGAGGGGGGCTGAGGGAGGGCCTCAATGGCGGCGCGCTGTCTCGAGGCCGCTTCGCAGTCAGCTTGTAGCTGACATCTCTTCATCTCCCTCTCTCTCTCCCCCCTCCCCCTTCTCTCTCCCTCCCCTTCCTTCCCTCCCTCTCCTTCCTTCCCTCCCTCTCTCTCTCTCTCCTTCCCTCCCTCTCTCTCTCTCTCCTTCCCTCCCTCTCTCTCCCCTTCCCTCCCCCTCTCTGCCCCCTTCCCCCTCTCTCTCTCTCCCCTTCCCCCTCCCCTTCTCTCCTCCCTCCCCTTCCTTCCCTCCCTCCCTCTCTCTCTCTCTCCCCTTCCCTCCCTCTCTCTCCCCTTCCCTCCCTCTCTCTCCCCTTCCCTCCCTCTCTCTCCCCTTCCCTCCCTCCCTCTGCCCCCTTCCCTCTCTCTCCCTCCCCTTCCTTCCCTCCCTCCGAAAAATCTGGTGCATTTCTCCCCCCCCCCCCCCCCCGCCCCGTGTTTTATTTCTCTAAACACAACCGACATGTTATTTACTCTGTGGGGTTTCCCGTGCACATCTTCTTCTTCCTCCCCCACCTCCCTCTCATCCTCCTCCTCCTTCCTTCCTCCCTCCTCCTCCCCACTGTGTGTCCCTCACACAGGGCACATCTCCAACCAGGCCTCGCTTTCTGGTCTTACCCTCAACCCTCCTCCACCCCATCCCCCCCTTTGAGTTGTATCACAACAAAATAGTTGTAGCTCATTCCACCCTGTGTGTCTGTCTGTCTGTGTATGTGTGCCTGTGTGTGTGTGTCTATGTGTGTATGTGTCTCTCTGTGTGTCTGTGTCTGTTGGAGGAGGAAAGGAGAGATAGAGTGGTTGCCAATGGCAAAGGTAGGAGGGCTTCAGGGTCACTGGTGTCCTCTTGTGCTTGAAAAGAGAGTGTGGCCGTGCTGCCTTGTGGACCGCACATTATGCTTCGGAGCTCGATTGTTTTGGATTCCCTCCTGGTTTTAATTGTACTGTGATTGCTCTCAGAGTGAAGCAAAACATATTGGGTTGACATAAGCTACACAAGCACTCGAAGGCATCTTAGGACCGACCTGTACAAAGACTATTGTGGACTGACAAAACTGAGCATGACAAGCGGCACATGGTATTTCATCGAATGGTGAAATACAGTTTTATGGGTGCCTGTAGAATGTACAATGCGCCTTGATAGAAATAACCTTCTGACCCTTACCTACCACCACAAGGAGTGCATGTGGATCCTTTGGTCCACACTGACCTACATAAATACCCGCTCGGATGGCAGTAAGATTCAAAACTAACTAAGGTTAATTTAGCCAGCTAAAATTTCTGCTCCTGATCACTATCATTGACCACCATCGGAAAATTCACACGTGTGCATGTCAGGTGAAGAGAGGATATGGCTTGGCTTGTGACACTCTCATCCTTGGTCAAATAGCTCAATGACACTCAAGGTTTGCTTGTGTAAAGAAAAACACCATTGACGGAGGGCTGTCTGTGCCCATCGAACTACACCTATCGAGAGATACTGCCTCCAGCAGAAAAAATTGGGTGGAGCCTAAAAATGTTTTGAATTTGATAACAAGAATACAGTTTGAACAGTTGTCGTTGCATGCTTTTCTTGAGTGGGAATTTTATACACCAGGTCACCAGAGATCTAAGATGTAAATCTGCCTACGCACCCCCAACTCCCCTTGAAATCCCTCACTGTTAATAACAAATGATAAAATCTCTTGGTTGCTGGGTCTTTCCAACCCATTGCGTGATGTAGTTGTAAGCCATTAGTCCAGAATCGTTCTATAGATCTGATAGATTTAGTGCATCATCAAATTTAACATTTTGGAAGACTGTTTCTGTCAGCCAACTTGATGCCAGTTGAAGTGGAGTGCTGTAAATGTTTTTGGATATATTGTGAAAGATGGGTCAGTGCCGAAGTAAAGTTGACATATATTTCACATGTAAAAATAGCAACAGTGTCTTGCCCTACAGCAATTTCACCTGCTGTCAGCTGAACATGAACACACATGAGAGGTGTTGGGAGAAGTCTTTTGCTTACTCATCCACGCTCACAGCTGCAATTGTGTTTATGTTTTCTTTAGGAAGCTGCAGGATGGTGTAAAAGCAATACTTATACAGTAGTTGACTACAAATTGGAGTATAACAAGGTGCTTTTAAGTGCAAGACAGCAAGAAGCAATTTGATGAATACTTATAGATGTCTATTTATTTTTTTGGTCCATTAAGCTGCGGTCTATCTATACACAAGCACAATTTAAATTATGTTTGCGGTTAAATCATTTTCTTTAATGCCAAGCAAGTGTGATGAAAAGTCATGAAAAGTCCTTTGTGGCTTTACATTTGCTAGAGACACGTTTTTAAACTTTTGCACTTGTTATTCAATCAATCACAGATTATGGCCTGTGTCTTCCTTTTGTAGGTTCCATTATATACTAAATTTAGGCATGTATGAATTGGGATGAAATTTGTGCATGACAGTATTACCCTATTCTGTAGCTATGGAGAGATTTAGGTGTAGAGCTGCTCTGAGCAGTTTGCTTCTTAAATGTAGTATGCAATATCCTCAAAGCTTTTTAATGTTATAGCAGTGTTTCGCAGCTTACTCTTTGTTTAGAGATTCTGCCAAGAAGCCTATCAACCATAATGTGCATATACTAGGCGGGATTGTTTACTTGGGGAGTGTTGGTGGGTAATTATTTTTGTCAGTTATTTTCTACTTTCTCTTCAAGTCTCCTGGCTGTGTCCTTCCGATGAGCAGGCAAGTTGGCAACCCACTTCCAGGCCTCTGCCAATGCCTCTCTTAGTCTGTCTAACTGCCGCACAGTACTTCAGCTACACTTCAACTTGTGAGTTCATCAATTCCCTAATAATTCCTGTTCATTCTTTGCCAAAATGGAACTACAAACCTCAAAACATAAAGTAAGACTCAACTAGAAATCTGGGCATAAAAAAGCAATTCCTCTACGGGGAATTGGCCTCATGTCCTCACAAAAGATGGTTCTTTAAGTATTTTCTATTGCAAACGTCTCCATTTGATATGCTTTCCCATACGATAAGGAATATTGGACTGATGAGGACAAAATGCGGAGGGAAGGGAAAGAGAGTGAATAGTGCTCAATTAGAGATGGTTGAAAGATTGGAGAGACTAATGCAATCAAAAGAAATCCTGTACACAGAATTATTAGGAGATAGCCTGCTAGAAAACATCCTCTGTGCCCTTTAAAGGTGCAATTCTTAAAGTTCACTACAACAGATTTGTCTTGTTATTGTGTAACATCACTTTAGAAAACCGATTTGTTCCAGAAATATTGCTGGTGCTTCAAGTCTGTATCCCCTGTTCAGCAGTCCCAGTGACTGACTCCCTAATTTCCATTTAGCAGTATCCGAAGAACAGCATCTGTGCTTTCAAACTATTTAGAGCTTTATTGAAGAATGCTAGATAGTGTTTCTCAACTTGGATATGATTCAATGCCTGGTTTTATAAGTAAAGCTCATTTTCATTTGAAAAACTGACAAGCTATTGGTGATGATCACCAGAACAGTTTGATAATTGTAATTGCAAGAACAAGAATACTTCTGCTGGCTATACTAAATTCTGTCTGTCCAGAGATGGATCAGGAAAGAGGTGCAAAATTGATAGTAAGAGCCACAAAGTCTATGGTTACTGACTGGTTATGGGCTTTGCCATAAATGGAGGTACAGGTGGAGTAGATTATGCATTTTACTCAGTGCCGCCACAAAATATATGCTCAATTCACTTTACAGTGTATTCTTTGAAGATGTCTCAACGGCACAATAGGCCCTATATCAAATACAAGTATTATTATTATAAATTGAAAAATAATCCAAATATATGATTATTAATAGTGATCTGTACCATTCCAAAGTTACTGTTATAATAACGATGCGTTCAATAGTTGTGTGCCTGTTAGTGTCACAAGGTCTGTTGAGATATTGGGTAGTTTCTTTTTTTCAAGGAACTGGAACTTTCGTAGAAAAAGCAATTTTTGGTGAAACTTTTTTTTGGTAAAGTTACATTTTTGTCTTAGTTTTCGTTCTGGTCTATTAGGAATTTAGTTGGATGCTGTGACTCTCATACTGAGCTTTCCATTTCAACTGGACCATGTAGGTGAGGCGTCAAAAGTTTCCTTCAGAGGCAGGGAGAGAGGATCAGAAATAAATCAACCCTGGACCTCTCTCTTAACATTTAAGATCATTTATCCTGCAACTCTTGCCATGAATGCTGAGTGCAGTATAAATCAAGGGTTAGGGAAATTGATTCAATTTGAAGGCAACTTTTTCCCAAAAATAAGTATGAATATGTTAGACAGTCTTTTGACCTTCCCGGAAGCCTGTCAATGTTTTTGAGAACTGTCCTCTCTTCTGTCTTTTGAACAGCAAAATGTAACTTGTCCATTGCTGATTTTGAAGTGCTCTGGAAATAGGAAAAGGGAGTCAGTAACACCAACAACAGATTACACTTGTATTGCGCCTTTTACGTCAGGAGGACATCCCAAGGCGCTGGACATTCAGGGATCTGCACCTGAGCTGGTGATTGGGATCAGGAAGGGTGGAGGGTAGGAGTAATAATAATAATAATCCTTGCATTTGATATAGCGCTTTTCACGTTGGGAGGACATCCCAAAGCGCTTCACAGAACACACTGTAAAGTAAATTGACTGTATATTTGTGGGCGAATGCGGCAGCCAATTGCGCACAGCAATGTCCCACAAACAGTCGTAGATTGAAAATGACCAATTTAATTATTGTTTTTGGTTTTTTGGAGGGATTATTATTAGGCTCTGTGTGGAGTAAGGAAACTTGCCCAAGGCTTCGCCCTGACCTGCCTGGAATTGAACTCAGGTCTCTCACTTGCAAAGCGAGTGCTCTAACCACTGAGCTACAGGACTCCTAGAGGAGTAGGGGGGGTGACCGAAGCCACGGTCGAAGAGGAGGATCTTGAGATGGGTCTTGAAGGAAGCAAGGGAGGGGACGAGGAGGAGGGACTGTGGGATGGATTTCCGGGGGAATAGTAGGACTAACAGTAGGATTGGTAAAGAGGGAGATATATGACAAATAAGATCAAGATGCCTCAATTTGTCAGAAATGCTGCATGACAATTTAATGACTGGCCGAAAGAGCAGTTATGCATTGTGACAGATTAATTGTGGGTGGGGTTCGAGGAGAGAGTTGAAATCGAAAGTAGTTGGAATTAATTTGGTTTATTCTGATCTTCACTGCACATGTTTTTTTTAATCAATCTTTATTTAAAGTGAGACTTGGGAAATGACCTTGTTTTACTTAGCTGGCCTGTGTAAATGTCTTGCTCAGTCCTCTGTCGAGCTGAATTTCAAGGACACTGAATTAGTTAGGATTGTGCAACACGTACACACATTACAAAGCCACCACACAAAGGCAACATAACAATCCTGCCTTTAGAATGAATGTTTAGTTATAGGTGTAACCTTTTTCTGGATCACCTTAATGTTTATGAGCCATCTGAAAATTGCAGGTTGTATGTTCTTAACATTTTGCTCCAATTAAGTGCTTACAATACATAGCTGTTGGTTTGGCCTTGCATTTTTTTACATTTAGAAAATGTATTTCTTTTCGGTAACTACAGCAGCTCCTAAGACCTAGAGCCATTTAGAAGTTAAAATCAGGATTTAAATCAAATTGTGATACATATCCTCCAGTGAGCAGCTAACATTTTGCCTTGGCCTTCATCTATCAAACAGATATAATGTCAACTGAAAGACCATGTCTTTCACACTCTAGTTATTTGCCTCCAGTCAAAGAGCTGCTGGATGTTTGATGTGAGTTGACTGCTAAGCTTGACACCATAGTTCTGGTAGTGGTTCATAAAAAGTATTTGCAATTTATTTTCCTATTTGTGTCCTTCAGATAAAATATTGGATAATTTAAAGGGTGTTGCATCTGGTTCTGCAAAATGCATTGGTGGGTCTGAAATAGAAGGAATGTGCAGTAACAAGATTGGTGGCTTTATAGCACCTTTGTATTAATGATTGCATCACCTTATCTTAAGTTTACCTTGCTTACAGTCTCCAACCACCCACACTCCCTTAAATCACTATAAAAGTTCACTCAATTTTTCCAAAGGCCAAAGGTTAATGATTTGGGAGCAGACAGTTTTATCTTGTGTCTAAAACTGAATGCTATTAAAAAAAAAGCACTTGAACTTCAGGTGTACCATCCAGAACTGCAGAGTAAAGCCCTCCCTCTGTACCTCCAACTAAAGTGCTGACTGTTACAAATGTTAGTTTTGATTTACCCACTGCCTGTCTTTGGGGTCTCTACATTGTGCAAAATTATAACCAGGCTTATTCAATGAATGCTATCTCATTAGGATATGTTGAACTTGTTTCACCTCCACATAGCTTAGACTCTTACAGGCTGCAGCCATGAGAACCTTTCATCCCTTTGGTCCGAGTTGGATTCAAATACAGTTCCCAGGTGAAAATGTCATGTTTTAAGCAACTGAGTCAAAACAGTTCTTGTGACATTGTACCTTTACAAGAAACCAAGACAAAGCAGAATCACCCAGCTGGATGGTTCTTAGTTGGAAGCTGGACAGTAAGACTAACTTATATAGTGCAATTAATAGTCAGTGCTGAAAAGGGCTAAATTAAGGACACACACTAATGTACAGTGAAGTTGTACAATAACGTTTCTTACTGGGTTGCTAGACCTTGTAACTTGAGTGTTTTTTTNATATTCCTGTCAGTGATGTACTAGCAATGCTGGCTAGGAGACGCCGTATTTTATGGCCCAGTGCTTTTATACAATAATCTTTTTAATGGTGTGCTTCCTCCATTCTGTTCCCCCTCCACACTTCTCCCACCTGTCACTGTGCTATTCTTCTACAGCAAGAAGGTTTGAGAGAAGCATGACTTCCTCTAGTTTAAATGTAAATAATTCACTGAATTAATTTTGGGCAGCTTTGCTCAACTTCACTTAAATTTATTAGTTATCTTATAATGTTTGTTTAACTTGTAAAAATGGATTTAAGAATTTATATTCTCCTTTATAATGCCTCTTGACACTTTACACTTCAAGGAAGTGGTACATACTTTATTTTATTATTGGCAACTTGTGTACAGAATTACCAAATACCCACGTGGCTGGTTGGGAATACTGTGGTTTTGAAGTTGAACTTTATGTCTGCCATTTGTCACAGGATGTAACATTTCACTATAGATATATGAATCATGAATGTTGCAGATGTAGAAGTGTTTAATTATCCACAGCATAAGTGGAATAAATGAGCGGGTATAAAACTGTTTGACAAGATCACGAGAGAGTTTTATAGAATATGACAATTACATTGGGATTCCAGTGTTTTGGTCAGACCACACATAGGATTAGTATTATTTTCTGGCCACAATACCACAAAAAAAGAGTGCTTTAAGCTTCGGAGAGTGGACGTACAATTAGATTGATTACCTTGTGTTTGTGTATAAGGATTAAGGTGTGAGAATGAAGAAGCTGCACGAGTACTGTACTTGCTGAAGGAAAATTGTTTCTTGAATTAAAAACATCTATCTCAAAAACATGGAATAAATGCTTATTGGTGAAAGAACATATTCAGTGATCTGGCAGAACAGTGCACTGCTAACAGTCAGTGATCTGTTACTGAACTTGCTGATCTTGGTCCCTCTAGTTTAGAGCCTTGCCTTTAAGATCATTTGAACTACTCCAATTATGGCACAAAACGGGTCAAGGTCACTATGTTTAAACCCACTGGCATAGGACAAAAAAAAGTTACAGATGTACTCAATATTCTAAAGCTTTGGGTTTGTTTGATTATCAAACATCATACAACCTATCCATACTGTGTCAGCAAAACCACTGGCAATAACAGAGTAGTATGGATAAGTGCCAGCAAAACAGCAGCTGGCATGATTTATGGTCCTAGAGTTATGGCAAGGTAATTCTGTGCTTTTATCAGTCGATCGTATTGTGCTTTGATGTAGTCAACATTAGGAAAATATTGATAGAAATAGTATTGATAGAATTCAATGGCAATATAACCAAATTAATGATGCAGGTGGTTGTGACTTTCGAGAGGATTGGGCAAACCCTTTGAGCAAAGGGACTCAGTTGACTTGATAAGCATTGGTCCTCATAATGTTAAATGTCTCTGTTAGAGACAATGACGACCTTACAGACATCACACCAAACATAAACCTTCTTTCTCTTTCTCCCTTGCCCTGTATTGTGCGATGGTGCATCCTGAAATATATGTTATAATTAATAGTTATATTATTTACTGTTTAGAATAGTGGAATCGTTGCAGATAATCAAGGTAAGATCTGCACTGAACTGTTGTTGATCAAAAAAAAAGTGTGGTAATCTCATCCATGGTGGATCTATTTCAATGGATTATCTTGTAATAGAATATCCAATCTATTATTGAAACATTCAGCCAAATTAAAATTACAAACCAGGTACCAATTCCTGGTCAAAGATTTTTCAGTTCATTGTGCCGTACTGTAGTACCCAAGTGAATGTATTCCATTGACTTAGATAATATTTTTCCTTTTATTCACCGCTAATAAAGTATTGATTCAAAATGAATCCTATTTTCCTCTGAACTCTCTTCACACGAAATGCTGTCTCCAGCCTGGAGAACACTGTGACTTACCCTCTGAAATCTGCAAAGGAGTAAAAACCCAAATAGTTGTCAGATATATAAAGAAAGGAATGCGTGTCCAATACCACAATCTTTGCATTTGGTATAGCGACTTTCACGTCTGGAGGACATCCCAATGCGATTCACAGGATACTTAACATCCAAATGGTGAATTTTCTTACTATTTGACTCAGTGGCAGAAGTCAAAACTGCATTTACTAACAGGTTTCCTCCCAGTGAGTAGACTATCACACCTATTGACAATACATCCTGTGTAAAAAGATTGAGATCTCAGAGTTCAGATCTTTTATATCATTGGTTTACGAGGTTTATTCTAAGTAACATCTGGCTTGTTGCACTGAAATTACAAATGGCTGAAGCCATGCTTTGATGATTTTCAAGTGATAGGTGAGCAAGCAGTGCTTTTGCTGCGCCAGCAAATGTTTATGACTGATGTAGAGCGACTGGTCGTTCAATTCTGATCATCATTGAAATTCTTCAATACATTGTCTTTTACACAGGTAAAGCCAAAGGAGAACAGGAGAAACTCACAGAGCCACAAACCAATAAAGGTAACTCAATGGATTACATTTAATTAAATCAAATGGTGTTGTGTATTGTACTCGTAATGTAAGAGAATTCTTGATAAGATCTAGTGTGATACATTTTATCACTCAGTGAGGCTTAGGGAATAATCACAAGCATAAATCAGTGTGGAGGCTGCGTTCCTGAAACTTCCTGGAAGAGGTGATTTCAGGAGCAATTCAATTTGTACCCTTGACTAGAGCATTATTGAGGTCCCAATCGTGCAAAGTAGGCTGTGTTTTCGGCTGGCTCAAATCAAAGTGACATGAAGAGGGCAGCTTCACATCTGTGCCCTCCTGGGAATAAAGAGCTACATAACCACAATGTGAAACTCTGCTGATATAGCTCATTGGTTAAAATGCAAGCAAGTGGATTTCAGGAATGTTGGGAAAGGATCTTTCCATTTCACAGTGACCCAGCTGACATCAACAAATCTGCCACTGAGAGGAACCTTATGTGTAAATGTCAGTTGAGACTAAGAGACAATCACCATTTATATAACTTATTACAAGAAACTGTTGCCTCAGACTGAATTTCTATTGAGCAGTTTGGTTCTACAAAGTGCCTCCTACTTTGAAGTACAGAGAAATCCGAGACCTATTTGCTTTCTCCAATACTAGGCAAATTTTGTAACTTGTTTCACTTTCTAACCAGATTCAAGAAGTAGGTGATGGAAGTATTCATGTGAGAGACAATTTCCGGTATCTGTGGGCACTTTAACTGTTTTGGTTTCATGAAATGAGCACAGTGGTTAAGAAGTGAAGGCTGTAAGCACAAAATAAATAAAGATGTTCTGTTTGCAGTGTTTGTGTGTTTTGGGCTCATGGTGTTATGTCGCTTATTGCCTTTTAAATGATTGCCCTAACCATCTCTTTGAATATAATTTGCAGTAGATTTTTATAAAGATTAGCCGTAGTTATTCAGGCTTTTATATTGAGTATCAAAAGACACCTCATTGGACTAATTTGAGTTGGCTTTATTTAAAAATTCTTGGTGTCTACATGTGCAGAACGTGTTGCACTGTTTTTTGTAAAGCTTCCTTGAAAACCAGATAATTATAAATGACTATTAAGGTACACTGATTGTAGCATTAAGCCAAATATTTAGCAACTTTTATATAAAGCTTTCAGGATGATTTGACTGAGATGGATGAAACAAGATAATGGATTGTTACTATCTGGAGAATTGGGCTGTGCATCATTTCCTGATTGATTGATTTAAAATGTTCTTTCTTTAATAAAGAAGATTCTTATATCTCATTGATCTGCTCAGAGTGCATTGAAATTAATATTGTGGCCCCGTTAGAACAATTAATGTGGGAAAGCAACTGGAGATGTGGAAGCGGAAGATGTAAAATAGAATCCAAATAGAATCCAAAATAGAATCTGAAGTTGATTTTCCTCAATGGGCTGGTTTGGTTGGTTTACAGACGAGCTGTTTGTTAGAGCAATTCACAACAGTAGAACAAAAGGTGCAAGACTTCTCCATCTCTCGGTTGTGAGTCACTAAGCGGCATTGACGATGACTGAAGAGAACTCATTGGTCACTCAATCCACAGCTCCTTGTGGGACGCTGCTGTGCACAATTGGCTGCCGCGTTTCGCCCACAAGATATACAGTCAATTCACTTTACAGTATATTGTGTGATGCACTATGAGATGCCTCAAAGACGTGAAAAGGAGCTATATCAAACAAGGATTTATTATTATTAAGTCTGCACTTGTTCCATTCAAGTAGGAACAGCAGCAGTGGGTGGCAGCAGCGGGGATCTAACTGGAAAGGATAGATTATAACATCTCTTTTACTTGAGATAAAGAAAAATATAACTTTATGCAAATCCTCCGTTGGCTAGAACATGTACCAGAAACATTATGCAGAGTAAATTATTGTACTCAGTGTTATTAAATAATTTACATGGGATGCTTTGTGCAGGAGGTTCAAGTCATACAAGCTCTATTTGTGGCTGCTAAGTCATTTGATTATATGCTGGGAAGGCCAATACGCCTGTGTTTTTTCTCCAAAGCTTCTCGTTCCCATTTACTGAAATAGTAAGTCATGGAAGGCTTTGTAACCTGTGAAAACAATGTTTTTGGTCTGGCCCCTGATATGTGTATGGTGCAGTGAATTATTGATTAACTCACTGGTTCGGGGGAAGCGTGGAAATAGATTGCTTTAAATTGAATTATGCTAACTTCCATCTTAATGTTTCCAACAAAATGGATTTAAATTACATCTGTTGATGGAATTTCTTATTTTGACAAGCTGTATAGAATTGGTTTAAAAAAAAATTGTGTAATTAATGGAAAAATGCAAGGTGATGTAGAACCCAGTGAATTCGAAATGTCTAACCATTTACAATATTATGGCTTGTGAACCTTTAGCATATTTGAATTATGACACGATTGCATCTTGGTGCAGCACATTTTCTGCCACCTGACTTTAAAAATAAAATGATGATTTGGATAGATTTGTGCTTTCTTTTAAAACTCAGTGGATCATACAAAGCCTCTAGAGACCACGTGCTGGAATTGTCAGACCCCTACGTTTCAAGAAATTCTCCTGGTTGTTCTGTTTGTTCGTTTCATGAATTTCCATAATTTCCTGTTGGAATTCACAGCTGTTTCGGGCACTTTGAGTGGGAAAAGGTTGCCTCTCTGCACACAAACGAAAACCTTTACAAGAAGTGGTGCTGGACCCATTCATCACCGCAAATGTAGCTGGAGCGCACAACATTTGTAAATAATGGGTTCCCGCCAGGTGATGTTGTCTGCATTTCCTGTTATCATTTGTAAACTGTAAACACTACAAATGTGGTTAAACCTGTCCTTCTGCACACCTTGATGGAACAGCTACAATATTTGTACAAACATCGACTTTTCTGCAGGCGTAAAATTGTATTTATGTTAATATACACCTGGTTAAAATGGTTTTCTGTTAGAAATGTGCCTGCAGCTCGCGCTAACCAAATGCATTAGTAAAATAGGTAAATGAATCCTGTTTATGTTGATGAATGGAAGCATTGTAGTTGGATTCATGGCATATTGATTGAATATTCATCACAAGGACTCCACGGCAAAACTCAGCTTCTAAGCAAATAAGTTGATTCACGAAGAGAGTGCAAACAAATAATTTGCCCCTTTCTTTCCCTCCCCTATTGCATGCACGTTTTTCTTTTTTATTGATACTATTACTATGCTAATTTTTACAAGATGTGGGCAGTTAAGCACTGAGAATAAACCCGTAGGAATTTATTCAGGAACCTTAGAGTGAGTGGTGTGTATGTGAGAGAAATCCCAACAGTCTAGGTACGTTTGAGTTGTTCCAAGAGTAAATAGAACAACGGCACAACCTCCTGCCCCTTAAGATTTGCAGTAGCTAGAGCAGGACTTTAAACAGGTCAATCATATAAGGTAATAGAAAGTGTGATGTATTGGTAACAAAACCAACTAGTTCCAAAGTGCCCACTAAATTCTTTTAAGTAACAACGGCCTTGATGGAACTGCTTTCAAACAGTAAAGAAAACTGGGGAGGAAGGAGGTATGGAATGGTATGGAACATTCTCCCTGAAATTCTAGCTGTGTGTGGGGGGGGGGGGGGGTTAGAAAATGTAATTGAGTTCATAAATGTCAACCTTTTTGGGCAGTCAAATTCCAGTGTGAAACGAGATAATCTTCTCCTCAAGCACCATGAGGGACTTCCTTTGTGCTTGAAGCATTTTCCATGATCTGAGTTCAAGTCAACAACATTGGGAAGAGAGCAAGAATAATGACATAAACGGCATCTACTTCCATCGCATCACTGCCAAAACATCTGGACTTTAATTCTCCACATTACAAAAGGACACAAAACATCTTTGAAGTTAGTCATTTATATCATTTAGAGCTGAGTTTTGAAGATTATTTTTAAATTTTTTTAATAAGGAATATGGATTCTTATCAGAGTTCAATTTAAATAATTAAGGGACACAGATTCTGCTCAGACCTCAATTTAAATAATTGCACTATTAATCTATATTTCCTTAACAAATTATCAGCCCAAGGCAAGCTATCTGCAATTAAATAGAAAGCTACTATTTAATACATTTTTACATGAACATTTCTGTGTTATGGTATTTGTAATGCTAATAGATTTTTTTAAAAAACGTTATTAATGCGAAGAGGAAAAGAATTAAACAATGAAGCATCCTTTCTGCTCAGTGGCACAGTTGTGTATTTAATGAAGCTTCGCACATATTCTGTTTCACTACAGGATACTTGGTACTGATAGCAGAACTAGTGTTTTATTGAATAGTGTATCCTACCTGTGGTAATTGATATTATTAAAACGTTATTGCATATTTTATTTATGATCCCAATCGCAGTCCTAATCCATTTTTTGTTAATATAAACCCATTTAATTTATTCATTCATTAATTCATTCAATACCTTCATTTGTGGTTTAATAACATAATCTTTTTGAGGCAGGATTGTTTGAGTGGAATAAGAGCATTGGGTATATAGAGAAGGTGAAGTACCTTTCATCATTTGTGTTTAAGGACCTGAACAAGTGAGAAGCATGTTTGTACAATAATGGAGCATAATGATTAGATTGTAGGCTGTTCCCTGGTTTATTTTTTGCCGGTCAATTAGACTTTACATATAAACCATAGGCTGTAGCAATAACAGGTAGCTCTATTGGGCTGGAGGAACACTGCGCCTTGGAAGATTTTATTAACGATGTCTGTAAATTTGCCATTACATTTCAAAAGTAAAAAGTAGTATCGGAGAGTGCATTAATGCTTTCAAGTTTCTGATTTTGACCTCTCTGTGTGATCAAAGATACTATTCTCTGATGGGTAGTCACGTGTGTGTCCGTCATTCATAATTAAAAAGCACCTTGTGACTACGCACATCTATATGATTAGAATCCTAAATGGTATTTTAATGAAATTGAAATCAGAGAAATTTGAACTTGTCAGATTTTGCTCTTTATATTTGGATGTATCGCAATATTTTTTGTACATTTTATATTTGTTTTCAGTTGGAAATAGCCAATAGTTTTAATTTCTATTTGTAAAAAGTAATTTAATAATAATCCTTGCATTTGATGTAGTGCCTGCCTTTCACATCAGGAGGACATCGAAAAGTGCTTCACAGGATATACTATAAGAGTGGAGTGTCAGTCTCCTCGACTGTGAAGCACTCCGGGATGCTACCCCAAGTGAAGGGTGCTATATAAATGCAAGTTGTTGTTGTTGAGTGACTAGTGACTATGTACCTTGTGGGTGAATTTGTATGTATTTATGTTTTGGAAAAAGGACAATTTTGTGCTGTGGACTTGGCTCCTCCTTTGGGAAGTAAACGTGCTGCCCAAACTCATTTTGATTTAATATCTTGAAACGCATCTAAACAAAGAGGCTTCATTCTCTCTTTTTGTGGATATAAGTTCTCCCAGAATTAGACTGTGGAGTCAAAGGGAGCAGAGCAGAAGGTCCTAGTGGCAGTGTGCTGCCTATCGTTCATTGGTTCAAGTGTTTTAAATGGATCGCAAATTAATTTTATCCATAATGAATAATTACCTTTTGTATTGGGCTGTTTAAAGTAATTAGCTTCCACTTTATTTCTCGCAATGCTTCTTCTCTCTTTTCCACAGCCCTGGCCCTAATTCCAGTTGCATCACCGTCCCCAAGCAGGAATTATGCACCTCTGGAAGCTGCAGGACCAAGCAATGTGGCCATCAATGCAATCTCTGCTAACATGGACTCCTTTCCACGTGGCAGAACAGCGGTCCTTAAAAAACAGCCGAGTCACATGGAAGCTGCTCATTTTGGAGACCTAGGTAAAGTTTTAATGCGTTATACTTTTTTCAATCTATGACGTACACTCAATGAACCGTAAAGATCCAATGATATGGTATGAGTCAACGCTCAACATTCGAAGGTATGGTTTTCCCAAGGCCTTGGGATGTCCTCCCGACCTGAAAGGCGCTATAAGAGTGTAATGTAAAACAATTTGAAGAGTAGAGAGCAAACCAAGTTAGAATAGCTCTGCAAAATGCTGTGCCTCTACTTCAATCTCATAGAATCATAGAATTATACACCAAGGAGGCCATTCAGCCCATCATGTCTGTGCCCGCTCTTTGAAAAGAGCTGCCCAAATCAATCCCACTTCCCTGCTCTCTACCCATAGCCCTGCAAACTTGTCCTCCCCAAATAATTACTCTTTTAAAAGTTGTTATCGAAATGGCTTCCACCAGCCTTTCAGGCAATGCATTCCAGATCCGAACAACTCACTGGTGAAAAAATTTCTCCTCACCTCCTCTCTGTTTCTTTTAACAACTATTTTAAATCGGTGTCCTCGGGTTACCGACCCTCCCGCCAGTGGAAATAGTTTCTCCTTATTCACCCTATCGAATTCCCTCATAATTTTGAAAACTTCTATTAAGCCTCGTCTTAACCTTCTCTGCTCCAAGGAGAATAATCCTAGCTTTTCTAGCTCTCTCCTGATAACTGAAGTCCCTCATTCCTGGAAGCATCTTGGTAAATCTCCTTTGCACCCTCTCCAATGCCTTGACATCCTTCCTAAAGTTGTATATGTTGTAAAGGGCGCTTTTATAATTGCAATTTGTTGTTGTAGCTGCACAGTGCTGTTGCAGATACTAAAAAAAATCCAGATTTTATTTTTGTTGGTTATAATCAAACTGCTTAATTCAATTGAGTGTTTCCAATGAGGACGTAGGTTTTTGTCTTTCAACCTTCCCCTGATATCTGCGGAAGGCTTGTACAGCTCAGAATGTCAGACCCGCCATTACAAGCCTCTGTGAATGCAATGTCCGTGACCAAATAAATGGTAATGGGTGACAGTAATGGCAAATGTTTATACATTTACTGCCTTCAAAGGAACTCTGAAAAACAGCTATTGAGGGATGTCTCAGCTGAGAGGGAAGCTTTTACATCAGTGTTGCTACTGAAATCAGGGCTCTTGTTCGTGGTTGCCCTAAAGGGGTATGAGACTCTCAGATGAGTGATTTGTTATCTATCCCTACAGGATTTAGGGTTATTTAGGTCTTTTAGTAAAAAAAATTAGTTCTCCTTTAAACAGCTCAATTTTAAAAAGAATGTTCCTTGAAACATTTCCAATTAAAACTTGAGCATGTTTTTTTTTGTCTTAAAAAAAACCTCTGCAGAAACTTGACGAATTTTAAATACAAATCAGTTCTCCAGATATTTTTAAGGTGTTATAAACTCAGAAGTGGAAAGCTTGCAATACAGTTGATGCTTGTGGAACAATACAATGCATCCTGGCTGCCCTCTCAAACCTCCTCGTCACCCTGTTACAAAGGCAAAGGCCTAGGAACAGGTTGTCTTCTTGTGCCTACTTATCAGGGATTGGTGTCCTATGATGAGATTTAACAGTATGAGGCAAAAGGGTGTTGTAGCATACCCCAAGTTCTGTTATCATACGGTTGGAAACTCCTTTACAGAACATCTTGTTTTACCAGCACCTATCTATTTTGCATTTTAGTAACTTGAAGACGGTGATAAAAAGTACCAGTTCTTTTATCCAATCTTTTAAATTAAAATGCAGAACTAGTACGAATTAGTTTTTTTTTCGTGCATCAGAAAGCAACTTCCCTGTTCGCTTTCTTTTGTACTCTTTTGTACTTCATTAGTTTAGTGACAAACTGGAATTTCTTGTTCACTGGGTCGAATTATTCAGGTTTCGACAACACTTTGCAACAGTACTCTGGATAGCGTGTCCTACATTCGACAATCTCTGTTGAGATTGATTTACATAATGCAGTCGGACAAGCAGAAAGAAGGATAAGTGAGACTATAGGAAAAAGCATTGTTGGGATAGCTCATTCTTTTCTTTCACGATATCCAGATTTTTATGTGCTTAATTCCCTCTAGAATTAATTTATAACCTTTTCACCCAATAGTGCCGCAGTCATAACTGCATTGTCTAAATTTTTAGAGGCTTCTTCCACACTCCAGGCAGCTGTCTATGTAGCTGCCTGGAGAGTTGAGATTAACAAGTATTTTCTGTTGAGGGATGTATGTATATGTAGACTGTTGTTTGCAGTGTAGGGTGATTTATGGTTCCAGCAATTCAGACTCTACAGAATAATTCTTGCAAGAATAAAGGGTCTTTACCATTAACTGACTTATTGTTGCATTGAGAGGTGTTCCACCAACATAATGTAAATACTCCATTTGAAAATGCTTCACTTATTCGCTAATAATGGAATTGGTTCAATCTCATTGAGAGGTGTGGTAACATTTGAGCCCATATCTTAACTGACTGAAACCTTTTCACATTTTCTTAACAAATATGTCAAACCGTTTTACGCAGTCCTTCATTTTTCAACCAAGTAATATTTGGGTGCAGTAGGCCAGGTTGGAATCCAGAAAATGTTCACTAAAATATGTTCTGAAGACTCAGGATTACAAAATAACATTTAACTGGTGTAAATATACTATTGTGATCATCAAGAGTTCGTTCTGCTTGTAATACATTTTTGTTTCAAATAGGTCACTCGTGTCTGAACTATAACTCTCAAGACACCAACTCCAGGCTTTCAAAGACTCTCGAACAGGTCTTGCAGGACACGACTGCACTACCGTATATTATCCAGTTTATGCAGATGCAAGGAGTTGGACATTTAGTCACATTCTGGTTGGAAGCAGAAAGTTTCCGCACCACAAGCTGGTCCCGCATCAGGGCTCACAGCCTGAACACTGTAAAACACAGCTCTCTAGCAGAACCTACTTCGCCTGCAAACAGACATCATGATGCTAATGTATTGGCATCGTTTGACTCCAGTTCAATATGCAACCCGGAAGCAAAGGGCAATGTGGTTTGTAGTGGAAAGAAGCCAGGTTTTGCAGATCCCAGAAGTCTGGACTCTGTAGGTAGAACTAACTACTCCCCCAACCAATGGTTAAATCAGGGTGTTAGTGAGTCGAGTACACTGCATGACGGGACTTCACGAATAGTAACCTTTCAGACAGAAACTGCAAATCAAGAATCTTCCAAGCCTGCGTCCAAAGGAAATCGACAGCCAACAGCACTGAAGGATCTATCAGGCAAGCTGATGAAAAGTAAGTGTGCACGTACCATTTCTCTTCCTAGGTAGTTACTCGATCCAACTTTCTCTTCCATGCCAAGTATTCATTTTGTGGTCCCAGATTTCATTGAGCAGTTACTTCATTGTGATCATTGTGTTGGTCCCTGAATAATCAATAATTGTTGCTGACTACTTGTAATGGAGTAACAGGGCTAAGGAAACGATCATTGACTTTTTTTAAAAATCCATGATTTCTAAGGCTGAACAAAGCCATATGAATTAATTAAAGAGTTGCACAGATTTAAAAATTGTAATCTCTACCAAACGTAGATATGTTCATTGTTTTTGAAATTGGTTATTTTTAATGCATCTTTACATTTTTACCTTTTTATTTAAATAGCTAGACTGAGACTTTTCTCTCCCTTCCTCCCCCCCCTCCCCCTCCCCCAACCACACACTCTCACACTTATTGAATAGAATCTTCAGTATTAAATCAGCAATATATTACACTGAAACTTCACTGGTTCATCAGCTGCCACCTGTATGGGAGTCCTGCAGCTCAGTGGTTAGAACACTCGCCTCGCAAGCGAGAGACCTGGGTTCGATTCCTATTAGGGCAAAACCTTGGGTAAGTTTCCTTCTCCACATGCCTGATAATAATCCCTCAACAAAAAAAATTAAATAAAATAATAATTTGGTTACTCAATCCACAACTGTTTGTGTGACCCTGCTGTGTGCAATTCGCTGCCGCGTTTCGCCCACAAATATACAGTCACTTTACAGCATATTTCTGTGAAGCTTTGAAACGTCTAGAAGACGTGAAAAGCGCTATATCAAATGAAAGGATTATTATATTGAAGACATTTTTGTATCATGCATAAATCTAGTTAAAAAATAGTTTAGGCACTATTGTGTTCACATGAGTAATACCTGTATGACCTTGGGAATTTGAAAGGAAGGAAGATTGCTGTAACCCAGTGCTTTTAACTGACGGGTAGCTCTAAAATAGTGGCAGACGTTATTTGTCAGGGAACTGCACCTGTGAACCTTTTGGAAGTGAACAGGCATCTAGTCTGACGTTTCATGTCTTTTGGAAGAGTGTTTATGTTCCAGTGTTTTTAGATGTTATAAAAATGAGATTTCTCAGTTAACTGGGCATTTATTTATGATGAGAATGAGTGGTAAACTTGGCACCGAGATTAAAAACACCTGTGTAAGTAAACCTTGAGTAAAAGTTCAAATGACAAAGTGAGCAGGTGACTGATTGAAATTGATGTTTTAAGCAATGCTAGTTCTTCTTTTGGAAGGCCAGTGTCGTTTATAATTGAAAATGATATTTAAATCTATTCATTTCATTTTCAGGGTTGTGCCATTATACTTTGTAAAGTAAAGGATTTTGAAATTCCCAAGCCATTGTGTGGTATTGAACTATTTCAATGTAGGGCCCTCAGATTCCTCTAGATTTGTCTTTCTGAAGGGTAATTCTGGTAGAATCATTTGTACGTACATTACTGTACATACATAATACCTTGGGCCTTTTCAATTTGCTCATATTAAGTTCAAGTAGAATTTCCCTGACATATTTGTAAAATTAGCAGTGTTCTGTTCAAAAGCATATATTTTCTCCCTTCCCAACCAGTACATTTTATAACAATTTCAGTATAAAAAGGGGGGAGGAGGGGTGCAGGAAAAGACTTTTGAAAGAAACCCATATAAATCTTTTGAGAGTAATGTGATCTTCAGTCATTGTCATATTATGTTTATAAGTAGTATCTTTAAACCGCTTCATAATTGCTGTCAAAGAGGTGTTCTTGCATGCAAACACAGCAGTCATTTGTGCGATTGAGATCAATCAAATAGGAGGAAGATTAATTATGTAGCCAGGAAACTCGGAGAAGCTCCCATTTCTTTTCACAGCATCGTGGCATTTTTAACATCCACCTGAACAAATGTTGGTTTGACATCTCATCCAAAGCAAGGCACCTCTGACAATGTGTTGTCCTGCAGTACTGTAGTAGGTTAGCTGGATTAGGAAGTCAAGTTCTGACAACAGAGTTTAGCTCACTCTTCAGACCAAGAGGCTCAAATGCTATCAACTGAGCTATAGCTGGCTTAAAATAATGTTTCCTATTTTAATTGTAAGTTCAGATCTGCACATTTGTACGTATTCATCGATACATTCAATTAATTCTGTATGAAGCCCAGTTCATTATGATTTATTTGTTAGTTAGTATTCCATACAAGTACGCTATGGATTTTTCAGAATCCATTTATCGCAAACATCTGTAAAATGTGCAGCTCTGTAATACGCACAGAGTAAGCAGTTAAAATAGCCATCCTTGGGTTGGCATAAATATTTCCTTTATGCATATTATGAATAGGAGATTTAAATCTGTGTTGATCACACTTTGTAAATTACATAGAACATCACAGCGTAAAACAAGCCATTTGGCCCAACTGGTCCAGATAGCTCAATGCATTTATGTCTGTTAGTTGAAATAGGATTGTGAACTCTTAATAGTCCTCAAATGCAAATCAGTCAACCATCTGATTCAACTGACATTTCCTCACATGAACCCATTTAATGTCACACACTCTCACTATGTGTTTATTGTATGTAATCGTAACAGGAGCCTAAAATGTCTTACATACTAAAACATTTTCACCTTCAGTACAGTTGTGTTTTCTGAGCAATGCATTTTTAATGTTTCTCTTTGACCGTGCCTTCACCTCCCCTCTCGACTCTCTACCCCCTCCTCGCTCCCTCCCTTCCCTCCCCTCACCCTGACCATTTCCCCCCAATGCTCGGGTCCTGACCCAACTGTCCAGCGCCTTGGGACGTCCTCCCGACGTGAAAGGCGCTCTATAAATGGAATCTTGTTGTTGTTGTTGACTGGATCCAGCAATTCCATAGCAGTGGCTGTCTGTTGTTCTTGTACAGCAATGGTAGCTGTTCCTGGGTCCTTGCTAGTGCAGCTGGCGTCTCCACATGCCTCCTTGCTCAAGCACTGCATGGTGAAAACGACAGCTTTCTTCTGGGTGTCGTGTGGCAGCAGACTCCTGCATTGATTCTTAATCCCACACTAACGACTGGACTAAACTGGTGGGAATTGTTGGGACTGAGCCAACTCTGGGCACTTCCCACAGGTTCTGGGAATTGTTTTGTGCTCCACTTCCCAACAGAAAAACAAACCAGATGTATGAAACTAATGTTCATCTTTGTGTGCTATGGATTTTGTTTGTGAAGCCAATCGTGGTTCAAGTAGACGTCTAATGTGAAAGTCTTGTGAAGCTGATATTAAAGCTTGAAAATAATGTTTTAATACAAATTGGACGCTTAAGACGCATAGCTTTGATGCAATATCTATTGCACAACTGTTCTGTTAGAGGAACTTGCTTTGAAATGTATCTTTATATTGCAAAATGCTTTGTAATTCAGCTTTATGATCATTTCCTAGTGCTGTAATAAGAATACTCTGACACGTGCATAACACGCTTGCAAACCCCTATTTTCTTGCCCACAACTAAACTCTGGAGCTATTATTCACCCAAATGAAGTGCTGTTTACTGGATGAAATGAAATAGGCTTTTTTTTAAAAAGAAATACTTGTATCTAGAAATTTTTTTTTAAATTGAGTACTTTATGGGATCGACATATTATAATAAAACGGTATAGTTAACAACAGATGGACCAACAAGTTCAACCAATCTGCTCCACGCACAAGATTCTTATAAAGCTATTACAGATAATGTTGAAATTGAGTAGCAATAAAGCATTGAAAACTAAAAATATTTGCAAGCAAAAGACCAGCCTTCAGGTCCCTCAGTCTCTGTTGGTGAATTTCATGCACATTATTGTTTTAAAATACTAGTTTTTGTCGTGAAATTCAAAGGGAGAATTAATCTATGATGAGGTATAAACTCAAGTGGGTCTGACTGACAGAGTAAAAGGCTTTGGAATTTATTTTAGCAGCAACTAATATTCATTCTGGTTCTGTAAGTTGCTGTTTCTGCTGGGATTGCACACTGCTGATGGCACTTCAGTTTGTGGAGGATGCATAATACATGCTACATTCTTTTTGACCTGCTATGCAAAATTGATTTTATGTAATATGGCATCCTCAGCAAAAACCCGCTGATCAAAAGATTTTCCTTATTTCATGCTCTTCGTTGAATAATAAAATCCAATCTTCGTAATAGGCTTGAGAAAACATTTTTGTATTGCATTTACTCACACTTGAGGAGTTTCATTTTATACAGCAAAATTCATGATTTTTTTTTCTTAACAGGTATAGAGCGTGATGCAGTTAATATATTTACTAAATACATTTCGCCAGATGCTTCAAGACCAATTCCAATTGTAGAAGCAATGAGAAATGACATAGTAGGTAAGAAATTGATTGCATTGCTTTTTTAGAATTGAGTGGGTGGAAATAGCTGATGTATTAAGGTGAAGGACATCTGATCTGTTTTGCAAGTCACGCGATAAAACCACATCCTTAGGTTTTCCTGTTTTTCTCTCTTACTTCATTTCTTCAGTTCTTTTTGTGGTATGGTTCTGTGCTGCTGAGAGCTCTTCAAAATGACTCTTTATGTGTGAGCCTTGACAACCAGTGAATGTTGGTGGGCCGTCACAGCTGAGGTCATTCCCATCATCAGTGAGTCTTCACGTGCACTTCCAACAAAGGGTGTGATTTGATAGAAACAGTGTGCAAGATAATTGATACTGAGTGCTCTCTTTAAACAAGTATATATTGTGAACATAAACTGTTAAGTTTGCTGCATTTCTTTGTTCTCACTTGCTTTAGAACTCCAGCTTGAAGGGTCCTCAGAGCAGATTGAAATCCTCCCTCACTGATATAAAACGAGGAAATGCCCCAAACTGAGTCTTCCGATCACTTTGGAGCAAAATTTCATGAATGTCACATCAGGACAGTACCACCCTTTAGGTCTGCTTCCAGTTAGGCTTTAACTGTGAAACACATGAACACAGAATGAGTGAGACGCTGGAACGACATGACACTTTTGTCAGCAGACGTTTCTCTCTTGTGTGCACTAGCTCCAGTCATGAGGATTGATGTGCAACTGTTCCCACCCTTTGGCAATTCTGTTCTGTAGCTACTCACTAGAAGATTCTTGAGTTCGTCTTCCTACAATTTTCCCTTCCTGTGGGACAGTTTATGGCTTTTGCATGACTCCTTCAGGTAACTGCAGTAGAACTCTGTTATAGCACGCCTCGTTATAGCGTGCGCTTATTGACATTTACTTACCCCCCAAAATCCCAAGTGCTCGCCAGTTCCATCGACATTATAAAATGCCAGCTGATGCATCGGAAGCAAAAATGGCCAATTTGTTCCACATTCACTGTAAGTGACATCAGCACAGTGATCAGGTGATAAACCTGTGTTCCATCACTCCACCACCTGTGATGAGACCTGCATTTTTTTCCCCCCTCCTGGTTCTTTAAGATGGGCTTGTTTTGTTTCTGATGTTGCTGAGACATTTGAAGCCTTAGCAAGGTATTGTTTTTCGAATGTGCATCCCGGATCACTAAATAAAGCAAGCTTGAATATGCAAAACACTTAATCAAATGCTTTGAACAAAAACATATTTTGATTTGAATATTTTTGAATCCATAAAGCCTCCCTGCTGTTATTGTGAGCTGTTTCATGGCAAGACTGCGCTTTGATGTTACCACACGTATTTCATGATGATACTAATTTGAGCACAAGGCTATTACCACAGTCATTGCAATCTCATGATTATGTGGCACTGAAATCGTTATTTGAAAACGATTCTAAATTTTATATGTTTTGGTAGAAATCAAGTGATGCCAGCGCTGAATCCCCCTCTTTTCACTTGAGCATGCTAAAGGAAAAGCTTCCAATCTTAAAACAAATGAAAATTCAAGACTATGCTAAATATTGTATCACTTGGCAACACTGCCAAATTGATAACGTCAGAAGGGGTTGACCAGCTGTTGCAGTGGTTTAGAGCGGTAGCCTTTCATTCCTGAGCATCAATTTATGGTTTGTCCGAGGAGTGTGATAATAGTAGCCTGCTAAAGAAATGCTGCAGCTCTGAAGCTGGATGTTTCCAGGAAGCTATTTGCTGAGGCTGTGTATGTGTTCTTAACCAAGCAGCAAGCCGACTGTGCTGGAAAATTTCCATTTTATCACTTGGACCCAAGTGACAGCGTCAAACAGGACAAAACAGCAGATGTGTAACGTATCCTGACAATGTGGGTTTAATAGAACCTTTGAGCAGTCCTTTTTTTTATATACGTCCATCGCTCCTTCAATCCTGTGAGCATAATTATCAGGACTGCCAAATCTGAATACGGTGTTGTTCCCTGGAAAACTGGGCATTGTAACTAGTTCTACTGATTTTTCTCCCCTGCTCCAAACCTTGTGCCCTATAAGTAGATGCCAGTCTCTTTATTTTCCCCTTTAGAATTCAATCCAGGTAACGCCTTGGTGTCAGAAAATGCTGTTACACTGAATCAGTATTCTTTGGAAGTTTATTTTTAAGCTTTCCTACAAAATATACAAGAGCACAATGGCGTACTTTGCTTGCAGTTAAATTTTACATATTCCTACTGTTGAATGACATTGCTGACTGACCGTTTGGCTGTTGAGAATGAAGAGCTCTTGTCTTGTTTAACAGCTATGATATGCGGAGAAGATGGACAAGTCAATCCCAACTGTTTTGTTCCTGCACAAGCCGTGGTGTACATTATAATGGAAAACGAGTGAGTAAATCTGATTAACGTGAACCATTCAAAGTATTGGGTAAGCTTGCTCAAAAAGACGTATTGATAATGAAAGTGGGAATTCTTAGAAAGTTATGAGGGAAAGGAAGCAGGCCTAGGAGATGGGTCTGAAATGAGAATTTTGCCTGGTATCAGTATTCTGAAATTCGCACAACACTGTGCTGATCATTATGCTCCTGAGGTTTAAAGAGACACATTATCAAAAATGTTATTAGTTTAAAAGGCTTCTCAATACGCTTTTGGGCGCAGTGACTTTTTTTTAAGTCAGGTCATTTATTTTCATTTCCATCTTGAGTGGATTCAAAAAGATTGAAGAAAAACAAAAGGAGCTAGACTTGTACCCCAGGCCTGTTAATTTCACGCGAGCAATTTCTTTACAGTGGCAGAGAGCCCACTATGAATTGTATGCTCAGATAGATTGTGTGTTTGCATTCTGCCCTCAGCATGATGACCATTGTGAGAGGAAAATCATTTTTTAATAATTGTTCCTGACCTTTTCAAGCCCTGAAATTGACTAGATTATCAGGGCAGAATGATTTTTGATGTGTCACGTGGGAATCCAGTGAACATATTAATTTATTAGTCTCTCCATTTTGGCACAAAACCCTCTTTCCCTGCCATAGAATATCAGAGAAAGGCACAGTAAGTTTGGGTGGGGAGGGGGTGCAGTGCAGATTCAAGGAAGTGACTATCTCTATGGAAATTCTCTTAAATGCTATGGATTCTAAAATTCCAACAGTGGTGTTTAATGTCATTTGTGTTTGCAAAAGGAGATTCCTTTATCTTGTTCTGATGTGAATCGTACGTTTTTTGGAATGCTCGGACTGTTCACCATCACTGTCTCTCAGTCTCACTCTCTGCCTCGCTCTCCGTTTCTCTTTCCCTGCCTCTCCGTTTCCGGCTTTGTTCACGTCTGTTTGTAGGGCACTGCTGTGCACAATTGGCTGCCGCGTTCTGCCCACGAAACATACAGTCACTATACTTTACAGTATGTTCTGTGAAGCGCTTTGAGACGTCTCGACGACATGATAAGGCGCTGTATCAAATGGAGGGTTAATATTATTATTGACCAACGCTGGAGAGACATCTTCATTCCTGTTTTAATGCCTGTGGTGCCAATATATGATGTGGTGTGACCGTACAGCTGGCCCCTCCGATCCACTCACAAACAGCAGCATTCACTCTCGAATCCCCAGTCACACTTCAATTGCATATTTTACTTAACGAACATCATTCAACCCACATCAACATGGATTCTTTCATGTAATGAAAAGCACTGAGAATACTGTTTAAAGCCAAATGATATTAACAAGCCTGTGCAGCTTTCAAACAATTGCGAGCAGTGTTTTCAGTGGGCAGATGTGAGGGGGAGGGGCGTATCATTTTGTCATCACGTACTGTCCTTTCATATCACAGAGTACCAAAAGCCAAGTACGAATACCAAAATGTTTTCCCACAGTTGTTATAATTGTTGATGCTATTGTTGTTGTCACTATTCCCACAGATGGTCCGATAGTTAATGCTACACAGTCGATAAACTGTGAACGTTTAACCTTTTATTGTGTGTTTAGTCCCTCAATGGCTGAATGAGTAAGTGACCTTCATGGTTTGATAATGAAAATACAAAGCAGATAGGTTCCAGGTTCCATCCCTGGTCTGTACAGTCACAAAATACAGTCACACACTGCTTTACAGTAGAACTTTAGTGGTTGAAGTGCTTTGAGACGTCTCGACAATGTGATAAGGCACTATATCAAAAAGGCAAGGATTATTATAACTGAGTTAACTAATCCCAGCTGGGACAGTGCTGGGACAGTCCAGTTGGGCCTCAGTTTCCCTGGAAGTTGGACTAATGAGTTGAGGATTCCCCTCCCTCCTAAGGAAACACTGTAATATTCTTGAGAATACTATTTTTTTCCTGCAAAATTTTAATTAAAGATAAACAAAGCAACAACATATCCTAGCCTTCATACCTGTCGTGCCTTCAGCCATCTTGGCTCCTCTCTCTAGCACTCTTGCTACCTCCATCTGCCTTGCACCCTCTCTTTCCAAACCCGCCTTAAAAAGCCTACCTCTTTGACTGTGCTTTGGTTATCTTTCCCCCATCCAGCTCTCACCCTGTTTGAGCTGTCTTGGTCTTTGAAACACTCTTGAGATATTTTCTGACGTGGAAGGCACTGTATAAGTGCAGGTTGGTGATGGTGTTGATGCAGTAGGGGTAATGTGGGCTCAATACTATTTGAAAAAGCCTGCATTGACATCAGTTACCTGCCCGCAATACAACTGACAGGATAACTGTCTTCAATAATGAACAATGTATTTTATAGCTTTTGTGTGAAAAACTGTTATTGCATCCATTGTGTGTGTGGGGTGGGGGGGTGGTTCCATTTTACTGGAAAAAATTCTTAAAATTGCAACATTTATCTGAAGAAACCAATACAAACTTCACTTAAGCTGTCATGGGGACAATTTAAAAAAAAGAGAGAATAAGAGAATTTCAAGAAAAAACATATCTAATCTTTTAGAACAAAGCAGTGTCAGACGGCTTAATATATTCAGTGTCCCTTTGTTCTCACTGCTACGCTGCGCTGTGAGATCTTTCACTGTAAGAAGAGATTGACAGGTTGTCATATTTGACACCAAACCTTTCTTTGTATTAGAGCGGAGACAGTGTTTGATGGTGAAGGTGGGGAGAAGAAAAGGAGCAGAGAATAGCAAAGCCACCCCACCTCCTCTCTCCCCCCCCCACCCCCCCCTGTAACACCCGTGTTCCTTGTCAAGGGAAGAATTTCTCAAATAGTGTTAATTTCTCAAATAGTGTTATGAAAGGGCTAAGGTAGAGCTGCTTAAGAATGATTTACAAAGGGTAATCGGAATTATTGGTTGCGTTCCCACTGAGTCCAGCATTGTGGAATGATGTGATGCCGCAATAATAACCCATCGATGAGTTTAGAAATGTAATGCTTTTCTGTTGTAGTGTAAAAGGACTAAGTGGTAAAAGGGCATAACCCGCTAATGAAGCTGCATTGCTGCCATCTTAGTAATGGTCACTTTAGTGCTGTCACTAGTACCGTTGTGCACTTAGCTGCACAATAATAAATAAATCTGCGCTCTATGTGCCTGGGTAATGTACTTGCGTTTCCTGAAGTGCAGTAGGATCAGGGAAAGGTGATCACTTACAAAATTTTTCCTCAACGGTTTCGTAAAAAGTGGGGTTCATTGTCCCCGTCACGTGTACAGAAAACGTTGCTTACGCAACGATCCCTGAGATGAGATGGTCACCAGCAATAGCCTTATCAGTAAACTCTGCATTCGTAAAGACAGCAGCTTAGCTCCCGCTGGACTGGCATTCCCTGCTGCATGGTCATTCTCCAGTTATTTTTATTTTATCTCGGAGTCGATCAAGATAACACTGGAAAAAGAGTGCTTTTGGACTGTGATAATGTATCGCCATCGTGTGGTAGAAGACTAAATTGTGGCAATTAAGAATAAGCATTATTAATATTGTTTAACTTCCATTTACATACCGCCCTTCACGCAGGATGATGTCTCGAAGCTCTGCTACATATACACAAATTGTTGTACATAAAAAGTTGTAATGTTAATATAACGCGCACATTGCTCAATATATATTATAATGTATTAGTGTGAGAAAATTGCTGTAGAAAATGAAAATATCTGCTCTCCATTTGTTCATTGATGGATTCAGAGCTGAGATTTTATTAGCTTCAACATTAGCCAGAGGTTGGTTCCACAATGTCTACTGACTCTAAAGAGGTTGGTTGGCAGATACTACTTCCAACCCAGCAATAATGAAAACCTAGTACACACTGAATGTTTCTGCCATTCCTGTTCTTTACATCTATTTTTTTCCAGAGCAGTAGATACTCCATGTGGAATAGACTCCTTTCAACCAATCCAGATTGATCTTGTCACTGTGATTATTGGTATCCATCAGAGGAGTCCTTGACTTTGCAAATTATTCATATTCCGCAGAAGAGAGGGCTTGTTGATGGGAAAATTACCTTGTCTCATCCCAGTTTCTTTTAGTAACGATGATTCCTGAGTGTAACACAATAGAAGCAAGCACTCCATTAAAGTGCGAGGTCGAAATATTATTTTTGTAAAGCAGCGTTTTATTATTCAGTAAAACCTTCGTTCCCTGTCAGTTGATTCCGTTTGTGCTCCCAATTCCACATGACAATGTTATACAGCCTGTAAGCCTCTCCTGTTGGATGATATGGATTGCGTTATTTCTCATCACTCATCATTTAGCAGCTGCAGAAATAGATTAAAAGAAACTCCTTGGACCTGTGGACAATGTGGAACTTTTATATTGTTTTAAAATATATATTTGGTGGGTTCGGGGCTCTTACAGACTCTTGGGGTTTGAAGACTAAAACATTTGCATAATCTGCAATGCAGTTTGGACCTTTTTGCATGTGTTGGCTGCAACACTGCCAAACATTGCTGTCCATTATAAGGTAGGGGTGCTGGATTTGTGGTTTCCTTATCTACCACGGCCTGTACCATGAAATCTATCAACAAACTGACCTCTCTGTTGACATGTCTGTAATGGTCGCCTGCCTGACATCCTTCCATTTAATGCGAATTTACTTAGACTTGAATCCTCGTTAGGAAATCGCTACAAGTTTGTCACGTTGGTGTTCGTTACAAATGGATTTCACTGCAATGTGGTGCAAGACATGTGATACCTCCCAGTACTGCAAACAGATTCATCATAAGATCACATAGGTCTCTTATGTGTTGTAAATAAGAATGCAGCATCTATTATTGAGCAACAATAAAGGAGGAAGGCATTTATTCATACCACCATTTAATCTCCAAGGAAATGAGTGTTAAAAGGAATAACTTCAAAATGAAACAGCTGTAGCAAAACTAAAACAAGTTTGAACCTTAAAAGACAAATGAAATGAATGTTAGTTTCTATTTCTGTTTTGTTAATGATACAAAATTATTGTTGCCCTTTACTTTGTAATGTACTTAAATCATAAAATATCAAATGCAAGGATTATTATTATAAAGGAGTATATTCATTATACCTTAAATTTTGCATGTCCTATATATAGGTTTTTTTTAAAAATCGGTTTTAGGCAAAGGAAGTATGATACATTTTGAAATTGGAAATTGCTAGTGATATCAAAAAGGGGCTTTTAAATATAAATATATAAAATATTCTCTTTCAGCTAATACAGAAATTAACACATTGTTCAAGACACTTATCTTCAGAGAAGGTTTTTTNAACAGGACAGTTGTTAAAATAATAACTCTTACATTTGCAATAGGGCCTTTCATGTCGGGAGGATGTCTCAAAGCACTTCACAGGATATACTGGAAAGCGTAATGACTGTATTTTGTGGATAAATTATTCTGTGTTCACCACATAAGATGAATACTTATGGTTTCCTTGTTCGTTTTCCAACAGGCACTTTACAGAATTTTTACGGAGTCATCATATTTGTAAATACCAGATTGAAGTGTTGACCAGTGGTGTTGTTTACCTATCTGATATTCTTTTTAATGAGTCGGCGCTCTTCTACTTCTCTGAGGTAAGATATAACACACTTTGCCGAGACATTAATTCCTTTACTGCCGGGAGTTCGGCTGGCCATTTGCTAGTAAACAGAGTAGATTTGGTGGATTATCTTGAATTAGAACGCTATTTGTGGTGTAAAATAGCTTACATTTCGCAAGTACTCCCAAATTTAGTCTTTGGTTTCCCCTCCATCCTCTCACTTTGACTTTTCCTGCCAAGATATCAAGTGGATATTCAGGCCTCTTGACAACGTCACTAACAGGCGACTGCAGAAGTGGGCTGGAGGCAGTTTTGCCTTTTTTCTGTTGGCCATGCCTTTGCCACTCGACTGAGATCCATCGAGAATCCATGTAGTGTGAATGTCACTGCTTTAGCAATAGTACAAGATACCCAGCCTGCGAGCACAGAGCCCAAGTCACTTCAACGGGAATCAAGTGGGCAGTTTGCAAATGAGAAACCACCTTAAACAAAAGTAAATATGAATAGATTTTGTCAGTTGCTCTCTCCATTTTAATGCTCTTCCATTCCTGACCTTGTGTCTAACTCTAATTTTCAGCTTTCCGCTTATCTTTACTTCTTTTCTTGACTTTGTTTACTTATTGTTGAACTTCCACTGCATACACTAACCATATTTTGAAGGTGGGGACGATTTTTTAAAGGTTTTTTTTAGTGGCTGAAATTGGCTACGGATGCAGGTTTTGCAGCTGAAGATTCACAGAGCTGTATCATAAAAATTGAGTTTCATGTATAACCTGGAAGCAGAGTTTACAAACAAACATACACTTAGATGTCCTTCATAGGGTGTACTTGGATGAAAAAACTCATGTGGTAATTGAAAGGTTAATGCAGGAAATGATTCAAGTATCTGAACCAGAGAACAAAATGAATAATATAGTTGCATTTTGCGTAAAACCAGGATGAGAAAATCAAATGAGACTATTATGTGCCAAACTCAATTTCAGCAATACTTTCTTAATGCTTGAAGACATTGACGTATGGGAGACACTGAGACCCAATATAGCAAATAATGACTCAAAAGTATTCAAAGGCAATTAAATTGCTGATTTAGGGTGAGATGGTTATGGGAAGTGAAACGATGAAAGCTGGTTCATCATTCAGAGTCTGATTGATTCATCAAGATAACCGCGATTGACCTTGTTTCATTTCTATATTTTACGTAGTTCTAACTACTTGACCTTGCTGGGTCATTTGAGAACAGTTTTTTTTAAAAAAAATAACGGTGACAAATGTCTCTGATGAGACTGCGAGGTTTTCCTTTCTGATTCTGATTCTTTTCAGGAAGGTTTGAAGAGCTTTTACATGACCCACATGGTTGTATTTCCAACTATTCACCATTTGGACTTTGTTTTGTCAAATCACTTTGTATTTTTCTGCATCTTGCATGCTTTTGCTATGAAAAACATCAGCAGCGTGCTAAGGTTGTGCATAATATACTTTTATTGTAGTACAGATCACACCTTTCAGCTGCACAATTGGACATGTTGTAAAGGTGCCTTTCGTTTCTTACGCTGTGAAATTCCTGTTTTATTAATAATTCATGAAAATTGTTGTTCTACTTCGTAAAGATTGAAAACATAAGCTTGAGGTTTTTTGAAAAGGTTAATGGATATTTATTGATCACTTAAGCATAGCACATGAAGTGGCTTTGCTTTTTCTAAACCTGACAACCTGATCGATAGCAAGCAATAAGAAACCACTAAAACCTGTGATTAGTCCTGAGTCTCTGGGCTGAGAGATGCAAATATAAACTTTAAATGGAATTGGCAAACCATTTCAACAACAGCTATAAAGAACCAAGTAAATAATCTCTTTGGGGAATTCAACTTCAGCTGCGATCTTGCTATAGCAATTTCAGAAGATGTTCTCAAAGGAAATCATCTTTGCCTGCCTCTTCTCTTCCCAACCCCCACACCCCACGCCTTCCCAACAAGGAGCAGATGAAAAGTATTCTGAGTGAAGCGTAAAAACCCAAATGAAAAGTGGGGAGCGATAAAACCACTTTAAAGAAACTTACAGCACAAAAAAGGCCGTTCGGACCACCATGTCTGTGCTGACTCTTTGAAAAGAAATCCTTTCAGTCCCAGTTATCCTTGCAATAAAATATAACTTTACATTTATATAACGCTGTCGTTCACATTGGGAGGATATCCCAAAGCGCTTATCGTCTCTGGAGATAATGCAGGAAACAGTAAAGTATTTCTCCAATTCTTAAAATAATTGGCAATACTGGCAGAAATTCTCTTACATCCTCTTCGGGGTGATGGGGGGGGTGAGGGTGGTGGTCACATTCATATTAATCGGATGTTGTACAGTAATGGATGTTCAAATATTACTGCATCTCTACTTGGCAGCAGAATGTCACAGTCAAGCTAATCCTCTATGGGATTCTTCCTACTCAGCTCCTGTTAACCCTGCAAAGCCCCAATGGGTAGGGCGATCCTAGCTGGACAAGTAGTCGGAAGCCTGTCAGACAGTACTCTCAATGGCAAGCTATGCAATCTTAGCTGGTTAAATTCCAGCAGTTACCCCAAAACACAGTCTAGGGTATCCAATCCTTGGCTCTTGCCAACCTGCACTAATACTCCCCATAATTTTGTAAGCAAATGCTTGCCTCTTATTATTTATCATCTTATTTAGGTATTTTAAGTGTGGTGATGGGTTCATGCACGCTTTAGACATCCATCCAGTTGACTAAAAGAAAAGGCTTTCCTGGCACACGGGAGTAGTTTTGATAGTACATTCCTGCCGATTAGTTTGCAGAGATTACTTTATATTTGTGATGCATCGCACACGTTTTATCTGTGAACAAAGTAGAAAATAAACCCAATTCTGGCAAATGTGAAGCGTTTTGGATTGCCAGTTATGTCAGCTGTGCTAAAATGAGATTTTACGTAAATCTGTTTTGATACCTAGGAGTATCTACATCAGTATCTCTACACTATGTTTAGGGGGTACGTTTACAGTAATACAGCACATCCTGTGTTGTCGGACCTTAGATCTTTAGTGTCCCTGTGTAATCCACTGAAGTGAGGTGAATGTTTCTGTCACTGTACTGTGTGACATCCCTTCAGCTTCGCACAAGTCATGCAACAGCAACCAATTCAAAGCTACATATTTAAACTTTCATTCTGACATCCAGCTGGAACTTTCAATTAAGCTTCATTTTTAAAGATTGGCAAAACTGTCAGGAAATTCATTCACTTAATAATCCTTGTGTTTTTTTTAATAATGCCTTTCACACTGGAAAAACGTCTTAAAGCGCTTCACAGGATGTAAAGTGCAGTGACTGCATATTTTCTAGGCAAACTGTTGTAAGTGCGGAGGCTGAGCGACACCACTAGTTCAGCTGAGCAATTAGCTTTCCGTTGTGCCTTGACTTCTCTGTGTTGAGCAATTCTAAAATGACCCTTTTTTTGTACAACTGTGTTGGTTTGATCTGATCTTGCCTACAGTTACTGCTGTGTGTTCTGACCTCTTTCCTCTCTGTAGTATATGGAGAAAGAAGAAGCTATAAACGTCCTGCAATTTTGGTTGGCTGCAGACAACTTCCAATCTCAGCTCGCTGCTAAGAATGGGCAATACGATGGTCAAGAAGCCCAAAATGACGCCATGATCTTGTACGACAAGTAAGTGAAATAAATCAACCAAAAGTGGTCTTTAAGGTTGTGAACAATTTAGCATTGTGTTTTATTAAGCAGCTTTTCTGAAGTTAGTTCGATACTAGCTGATATCAGTCGACTAAAATATTAAAATTCAAGAAACGTATTAAAAATGATTGTTCCCTAGCGTTTACACCTGCAGTTTTGTTACATCTCATAGTTTTTCACATCTGGGCCTGCTAAATTATTCCATTTTAGTAGCAGGTGTTGCCACTGAACAGATCTCCAGTGCTGCTTCTTTAATGGCTGTACTTTTGTTGTAGGTACTTTTCACTGCAAGCCACAAACCCACTAGGATTTGATGATTCTGTCAGATTGGAAATCGAGTCGAATATCTGCAGGGAAGGTGGACCGTTGCCTGATTGCTTCACTACTCCATTAAGGCAAGCCTGGACGACAATGGAAAAAGTACGTAGGCTTGCTTAAGCTGATGGTTACTGTTGTTGATCCAGATTTAGAGTAAAACATTGTCTGGTCTATTCCTAATATGCTGCATTCCTTTTTTTTGCGCCCTATTGTAGCTGGGCTATGAAAATATTTATGACAGGGAGGTTAATGTGCATCCTGCCTGCACTGAAGCAGTCTTCCAAGTCCCATTGAAATAAATCTTTCCCTACACCCCCTCCCCCCCCCCCCCCCCACCACCACCACCCTCATTTGTGTAGTATTATGTGTAAGACATCAATAACACTAGCACTTGGGCTACAACAGCATATGTTTAAGAGTCCATGGTGCAATTTTACAAGCAAGGCGTTTAATCACAATTCTGGGAGATTTGTCTCATTTTGTTATGGAAAACAATATTACTTTCACGGTTCGCTTGTCCACAGATAACCAGCGTGAGTGAGCTAAAATGTTTTCCTTAACCTATCTGTGTAAATAGAATTGGTGTACGAGACTTCAAAGGTTCAATGAGTTTCTCTTCTACTGAATGCTTAATAGAAGTTGGGCAAATAGAAATCTAAAAATGTTAAACATTAGAAATTCTGGAGGAGTCTGGAAAAGGGGGACTTGGCTGAATGCTCTGCAACACAAGAAGAATTCTGGAACCTTTCACTTTATGTTACAATCCTAAATATCAAAGCAAAGTTACTTCTTTTTTTGTCTGCTGCAAATACATAATACAATAATAAATTGGTCACTTCAATCCACGACTGTTTGTGGGACACTGCTCTGCGCAATTGGCTGCTGCGTTTCGCCCACAAAATATACAATCAAATTCACTTTACAGCGTATTCTGTGAAGCACTTACAGACGTCTCCAAGACGCAATAAGGCGCTACATTAAATGCAAGGATTATTATTAGTTTTACAGCTAAGCTTGTTCTTTTCATATGTTTCAGGTTTACTTACCTGGTTTCCTGTCTAGTAATCTATATTATAAATACTTGAACGATCTTATCCATTCGGTGCGAAGTGATGAATTTACTGGAGCCAATGCATCCTATCCTGGCCAACGGCCAAGCAGCCCTCATGAACATGACTCCATTTCAGGCAGCTCTGATGGTACTGTGGTACAGGTAAAGACTCTTGTAGATCAGCAGGTGACAAGTCAACACAACACAGCTCATATTTTAGACAGAAACCCATTAGCAGTGGTTATTGCAGCAAAAACAACAGTCACTACCCTTTACAGTATATTCTGTGAAGCGCTTTGAGACGTGATTAAGGTGCTATATCAAATGCAAGGATTGTTATTTTTATTCACTTTACACTATATTCAGTGAAGCGCTTTGAGACGTCTCAAAGACGTGATAAGGCGCTATACCAAATGCAAGGATTATTATTATGTTATTACATATAACAAATAACCAGTTTAATATTCTTACATTTAATAGTTTGTTGAAAAATCACTTCAAAGTCGTTGGCGCTTTTAGAGTTGATACAGTACATTGATCTAGAATCAGATGCGTGTTGTTCTTGCTTGGGGGGAAAATTACTGACCCTTGTAATTTGTAGGCCTACATTGGCAATCCATTCTCTTTTAGATGTAAAATAGAGGTTCCCAATTTTATTCCGATAAGGTCCACTTGCCTTGTTCAGCATGGGATGAAAAGAATTTAATTTAAACGAATTGATTTAGATTGTCCCAAATCAGCTGTTGGCAAATGTGCAGTGTGCAAAGCTGCACCAGAATCAATATGACACTCCTCAGTGGGGGATAACATAAGTTTACATCAAAGAAATGTTATACTGGGCAAATGATTGGAGGTTTGCTCTGTTCTGAGCTGAAGCGGACACATTTTTGATGTACTGAATTGGATACGTGAATGCAAAGGCATTGTACGCATCAATCAGCATTGTAAGTTGTCACCTTGTTTCAAGGAAAATGCAAGCAAAGCTATGTTTTTTTTAAAATTCTCCCTACCCCCACTTAACCGCCAATGTTTTTTTTTAATAGCCAGGTGTCAAAAAGGCCACCGTAAAAATCCTGAAAAACTTTGACGAAGCAATAATAGTGGATGCCGCGAGTCTAGACCCAGAATCTTTATATCAAAGAAACTTTGCAGGGTAAGTCATTGTAACTGCTGGTCAGAATTTGTTAGTCACAATGCTACTTCACCTGTGTGGCACAAAAGTGACCGACTGTGGAAGGATAATACAGAATTGTGCGTAAAGAAGCATTGGGGCATAATTCAAATCATTAAAACGTTGATTTGATGTCCAGTCATTGAACAAAGTTGCAAAGTTTTGTTTAGAACATAAGAATTTTCTATAAGTCAGAAGACGAAGGTCCTACCAGTTTGCCTTCCATCGTCCTGGCTGTCACGCGCACTTGTCATGTCCCAAACCATATAAGAGTTTGTTCTTATTGATGAAATTCATCATATTCTAAACAATGCTGGGATTGATTAGAGTGTTTGTGTTCAGTAGTGCGAAAAGCATCATATATTTCTTCAAGGACCTACTGCGTAATGCTTTTATTTATAATATTTATAGTTTTGAGGAAGATGCGTCCTAAAATGTACAGTAAGTATTTAGTGTGAGCTTGTCAGTAAAAGCTTCAGGTAACAAACTGGATTTCTATTCAGTGTCTTTTAAATAGTTTGGAATTGGTCAAATATTATTTGCCTATGCAAGGGCTATTTCTGTGCAATTTGTACGTTTATCTCTTCCCCGACTTCCAACAAAGATAATTTTCTGTTACAGGCATATTGTCCCTTAATTTAATAATGACTCATTTTTCACAGAAGCCTGCAATATTACTTTATAAATGAAGTGCAAGCAGCCAACTTAACAGCACATTATTCGTTTTTTTTAAATAACATTTTTACTTTTGGATTTACTTTGCAGGAGAATGACATTTGGCAAGATAAATGAACTGGGCCAATTTATCAGAGAGTCTGAGCCAGAGCCAGACGTGAAGAAATCAAAAGGTAAGTTTTCAGCCAAGTCGTTCTACTTGAGGACTTTTCAATCTCAAAACAACGGCATTTAATGATAGCCGTTGAGGTCATACACTGCACACTCCTGCATTGAACTTCTGGGGAGGCTCTGCTATGAGAGCTTTGGTGAGAGGTGTATGTGAGTAATACATGGTTCTGTCCTCTGTTGTTCCCTCTCCCCCCCAACCCCCCTTATTTTGCTGGGGAGAGGACAAGCCTCTCCGCTCAACAGTATTGCCTGGACAGTCAGGGGAGCACGACAACAAGTTTACATTCGCATAGTGCTGGGCAGTCAGTGATCTGCACCCGAGCTGGTGGTTGGGATCAGGAGGGGTGAAGGGCGGGGAGGGTAGGGGTAGGTGGATGACCGAAGGCACAGTCGAAGAGGAGGGTCTTGAGACGGATCTTGAAGGAGGCAAGGGAGAGGGAGAGGATTCCCAGCTTTATCTGCACTTATTTAAAAATTGTACTGTAATATCTAATACCTTCAAAAAAATGTTTTAAAATAATAATTTGGTCACTCAATCCACAACTGTTTGTGGGACACTGCTATGCGCATTTGGCTGCCTCGTTTCTCCTACAAAATATACAGTCAATTCACTTTACAGTGTATTCGCGAAGCGCTTTGAGGCATCTCAAAGACGTGATAAGGCACTAAATCAAATGTAAAGATTAGTATTATATCAGATAATTGTGTGACGATGCCATGCTTTAAAACCTAAAAGAACATTTGTTTGTTTCACACAGGTTCCATGTTCTCACAGGCCATGAAGAAATGGGTGCAGGGAAATACAGACGAGGTAAAGTTTAGATTTCCTATTTCCTAGGCCCTCTCTCAAATCCTCCCACAAAACATCCATTATTTTTCATGGAAGTTATAGCTGGAGTTTTTGGTGTAAGTGATTAAAGTGTTGCAAAGTTATTTGCACAAAAACAGTCACTGCACTTAACCCGTGTAACTGTAAAGGTACTTTAAGTTGATTCAGTGTAACCAGGCATCATAAAAGTGCAAGTTCTTTCTCCTCATTCCTGCCCCTTGATTCATTGAGTGATTTTAAGTACCTTCCCCCTTCCATGAACGTTAACATTTAGCTAGTTCCATTAGACGCCAGCATTTGTGTCTTTTTTTAATACCCTGATCGTCCCGTTGATGTAAAAGCAAACTCTCCTGATTTATTGATGTGGATGTTATTTCGTCACCTGGCTCTTAATCCCGTGAATTTGTACTTTTGTCGTAATTGTCTCTTCGGCTTCAAGTGATTCAGTGCCAAGTGGACTTGATAGAGCCATTTTCTTATGATCTATTGTGAGTTTGGCACATAGTTCGATACCCAAGTGAGAGAGGGACATGATGTGAATCAAAAATACTCGGGTCACTCTGTACAATAGAGTTACATTGGGCTCCTAGGACTGGTTACGGTGTAGGATTTTGAAGTTGTTCGTGTTTTAGGCTCAGGAAGAAATGGCGTGGAAGATCGCTAAGATGATTGTTAATGACGTCATTCAGCAAGCACAAACTGAACCACTCAGTGTCAAGTCAACAAAGGTAATGTATTGGACCTGAACTGTTCTGTCTTGTTGACATGTATCACACGAAGAATGCTTGAAATAATTCATTGTGTTATTCGCAGTGGTCCAGAATGTAAAGGACACATTTATGATCATTTTCTCCTCAGGTGAGTGCTTATTATTCAGCTGTCAACAAAGTAAAGGAAATAATGCTGACCAAAACATTGAATAGAAAATGCATCATGCAATTCAATTGATGGTTTGGATTGTGTAGCAACCTGGAAATTGTGCACTGGTCTATCGGACAAAACATTGGCCGTGTTTCTACAAATGACGCTTCTGTGTCGAGGAATGATAATGAAGTCATTTATGCCTCCATATAGAAGCAAGTAGGACAGAATTGAATATGACACTAAGGTTTTGCGAGGCACTAGATAGAATTTGTGTTGCCCAGTTGCGTAGGAGGCCTGCAGGAACCTAACCCCATAAAGTTATTACAATAGATTAAAAAAAACTATTTCAAATGCAAACAACAGCAACAAAATTACATTTGTATAGCGCCTTTCACGTCGAGAGGACGTCCCAAGGCGCAAAGGTATAGGTTAGTGCCAAATTTGGAAACGGGAGGTGATCAGATGAGATGATCCTCGGAGAGCACTGATGTTCAACCCTTTTGTTTTAACTTTATCCTTGAAAACTCTGAATTGATGGAATTAAAAAAAATTGGAAAATTAGCGAATTGATGCAGCATTTGCCAAAAAGCTCCAGTAGGAATACAATTGAGCTGTTGTGTGGAACAAAGGAATGAATGTTTTCAAAATGTTATTCATTACTCCGTGCCATATCACATCCCTATATTTCGTAAGATTTAGCCATGATCTTTTCCTTAAGGAATGTGTTCTAAGCATTTTGTTCCATCGTCGTCATAAAGTACTGTACGTACATAAACAATGTTGTAATATAATAACCTGACACACAGCACAGGATATTCTGTTTGAAACAAAGTGTTATGGACCAGGTTATTTAAATTTATTTATTAGTTATTTAAACCGGTTTAAATTATTTAAATTATTCCATTGATGAGTTAGGTATGAGTTAAATAATTAATGAATTAAGTTATTTAAGCAGGTGTTGTCAGCTTCTATTTAAATGACGAGTGAAAGACTGACATAACTTCTTCCTCTATGGTCAATGTTAAAGTCTATTTTTTGCATCATTACACTGCATCTTTCTTAAAGTCGCTTGGGTTTGCTTGACCTCTGTTCCTTTGTCATTACCTCTTTGCATTACCACTGTATTTCGATGGTGTCACTGTTTCACACTAAAAATTGAGGACGGAATCAATGTGCACAACTCAGGGGAAGAAGTATTATTGCAATAACTGATTTAATATAGTGCCCTCACCCATGGACCCTCAAATATTACTGAGATGCATCTTAATAAAAGATCTAATTTAAAGGAACTTGTCTTTTATATTAATCAAAGTGAGATTATCAGCATTCCATGTTAGAGAAGTCAGGGAATCATTAATGAAGAGGATCAATGCTCATCGAACTTCAGACGGGCTATGAGACATTTGGGTTTGTGAAGCTGAATGCGTACCTAATTCGTACCTAACTCATCAATGGAATAATTTTCTTGCCCGTATTATAGTTTTTCACAAGATGTAGAGGATTCAAGTTCCTCTGAGCTTACGATGAAACTGAATTAAACTGGCATTGATATAGCGCAGTGGGTCTGCTAATCATAGCTGCTATGCCCCATACATGAGTTGCTTGTTCGGTTTTGCAGGGTAACTGAAAGCAATAACCACATTATTGTTTCTGAATGATGCATCAGATTTCAGAATTAGTGGGCATTGAGATCACGGTGAGCCATTAAAAAGCTCACAGCACTGATTTGCCTTCACTCAGCTCTGAACTTGTTAATGGGCCATTATGATCTCAGTGCCCACTAATGCAGAAATCTGATGCAAGTAATGGAAACGCATATATGTTTGTGTCTAATAATAATATTAATCCTTGCATTTGATATGCGCCTTACCACTATATCGTCCAGTCGTTTCAAAGTGCTTCACAGAGCATGCTGTAAAGTGAATTGACTGTATATAAGAACATAAGAAATGCTAGACGAATAAAAGACCAAGGTCATATTTTATGGGCGTATATTGTTTGACTTATTTGGCCTTCCAGTCCTGCAAGGCTGAAGTTTGTTGAACAGCAGATAGATCACTTTGTAAAATCTTGCCAACCTAGATGAATTAGGAATTTAGAGTCTGCATATTATACAGTGAGTGCGAAATAAAAAAAAAAGTGTGAAACCAGCAGGAAAGAAAGATCGTGCTCAGCAATTCTCTTTTTAATGTTTTTCAAGAGCTGCAGCTGTTCGCAGCAAAGTTAGTATTCTTGCTACAACTATTGTTTTGATATTGCAGCCATTTACCCCTACGCACATTCACTTGGCTGTGCCAAAGAGGTTTAAATATGCCACTGTTTATTATTTTTGGATATTGAATTCACTATGATCATCTCAGAGGACTGAGGGAAAGGGGAGATTACTGCTTTGTATTGTACAATAGATAATGTTGTCTATCCGAGTTGTTGGGATCAGGAATGCACTGCCTGAAAGGGAGTTGGAAGCAGATTCGATAACAACCTTCAAGCGAGAAGTGGATAGATATTTGGGGAGGACAAATTTGCAGAGCTATGGGGAGAGAGCGAGGGAGTGGGATTAATTTGGACAGCTCTTTAAAGAGCCGCACGGGCGCGATGGGCCGAATGGCCTCCTTCTGTGCTGTATAATTCTATTATTCTATGATATTGTTTTGAGTCTCCTCACCTAGGCTGCTCTAGTAATGCCACCAACATAAGGTAGCTGCTTCGGAGCGCATACAACAACAACAACAACAAGATTACATTTGTATAGCATAGGAGCCACTTGACTCGGGGAATATTGTACTAGCGAGTTATTACTACATACTGCCTTCTCCTTTAACTTGCAGTGGTTTTTAGTTTACTGTGTGTTACAAGGGAATGTGATATCCTGTATGTATTACTGAATATATTTGAGTTACAACAAGAGTTCTGCAAATTTTCCTTGTTTCGTTGCCTGAAACAGTTTACGAGCTTGAAGGTCTTATTGTGTGTTCTGTTTGCAGTTATGACCCATAAGAACAACCATCTTGTGCACTCTTCTCTCGAAGTGACTCCACTCTGCACCGAGCAGCGAACACCTCCTTTCAGTTAACACAGCCATGAAAAAGCACTGTACTTTATATGATCTGATCTTACTCCATTATTTGTATGAAGAAAACTATGCATTCCAGGATCTCCAGACTCAAATTGTGGGTTTTATTGATCTTGACGCTGGACCGGACGTGATGAAGGTTTTCGAGAAGATGCTGCATCAAGCAGAAAGCAAAAGGACTACAGGGCACTCTTTTTAAACCTGGATTCCGGTTGTATGGTTTCATAAGCATTGAAGTGATGATTATATAGATCTATATTGTGTTCCAAATGTCACTCCATTGATTTGTTCCTGTCTGTTTGTTCGTTTGATTGTCGGCCCTTACAAAATACCTTCTGGATATTTGTTGGAAAAANTTTAGCACAGAAGAAAAAAANTATATATATATAGAGAGAGAGATACATATATGATTTTTGTAAAAGGTTTGGAAAATCTCAGAGGGGTTTCTTGATAATATCTGATAAATGGAGGTACTGTATTTACGCAAAAGATGTTACCTAATTGTATTGAGATTGAGTATTATCACAGAAAGAGGCAAATAAAAGCTATGTCCACGTTTTTTGGTACTATGTACTATTTCTATGTTTTCTGATGGATATGTGTTCATGTACTTAATCCGAAATCATACCTATTTAATTGTGTTTGATTTAAAATACATATTATTGAAAACTGCTTTTGCTTCCTTCATTTTCTTCGTGGGGCAGAAGGTCGTCTTGCCTGTTGGTTGGTTAAGGATTGCAATGCATCTTCTCACTCCATCATTATTTCTGATCTGGTAAATACGTGTGCAGACTCTATTAAATGCCCACATTGCCTTATTAACTCTAAAGCCCGTCCATTGCTTTGCGGTCTGGGCAAGCCGAATATTCAAGTACAACAAGCCAGGGAGCGGAAATTAAAAATGCTATTTTAATTAATAACTCAAACCCGGTAACATAACTATCATCCTTATTACGCCTTATCACAAAGGATTATATTAATTGGATCTGATTTGCAAATGCACTTTAAAATCAGAGCTTGCCTCCTGCATTCTAGATACAACTTACAAATGGCATTTATTATTCTGTTAAGGTTTATCTGTCAAAGAATTATTCTAGTTTAGCCCGGGTTACTGATGAAGGCAAGATTAAATGTAAATACTGTATTTTTCCTGTGTAACACACGTGTAAAAACCTGTTATTAAAGCAAAGTACTGTGAGAAGCACTGTTTAAAACCAGAAAGCAATGCTATTTCTGGGAAAAAAAAGTTCAATTATGCTGTATATTTTCATATGAAGATAATGAAAAATTTAACAATTACATTTGCATTAAAGTATATATTATTTCCTGATACTGAGACATTACTTTGCCCCTTCCAACACTAAACCCTTTTTGGTAATCAGCATAAATTTCTCAAGACGTGCAGAAGAACTGACCCAAATCCAACCTAATTGTAATTAAAATACCTAAATTATTCTCTCTTGAGAACAATGGCTGATTCAATATTGCAACTCATTTTTCAAAAGTCCTGTCACTTGGTGAAAATATCTTGCACCAAATCAGCAGCAGAGATGTTAAATCCCACTTGCTTTGTATTTTTCCTTGTAGTCAATACAACAGCAAATTACATTTATATAGTTCCTTTCATGTCGGAAGTCACACCAAATTGAGATTGCCAGCAGCACCTTCCACTAATGTCTCAGGCGCAAAGTGAAATCAAAATTCTAGGCTGCAGAACGGGGATAACAGGAAATACATTGAAGAACAGCAATGAGCTAATTTCATTTGATTTTTCAGTCTCACTTAATTACCTGGCTCTTCGCTATATCCTTGACTCTCAACCACTTCTCCCTCCACGAACGCACTTAGTTGCCTCTTGAACTCTATTCTATTAATACTCTTCACGCCAGGGGGGTAACTTGTTTCGTGATCCCTTTTCCCTTTGAGCAAAAGCGTTCCGTTTGACTTGATTGAAATGCAAGAACTTGCTCGTAGCTTTCTGTATTTTAACTTGTGATCCCCTGGTGCTGTTTTACATCCGACTCTGTAGAACTTACAAATTAAGATACACGTTTTTTTAAACCATAGAACCAGATATTAACACATCAAATGTAGGCTTTTTGAAACCGCTTTCTGGAATCTTGAGAATATTTACACTATTACTAAATGTATAAGGAGAACTGGACTGTCTGTAATCAAGGGATGGTGAGGAATAACCCACTATAGACAGGTTATCAACAACATGATAAGGCGCTATATCAAATGCAAGGATTATTATTACTGACATCAGTAATGTCCATTTTACGACTGGTTCGAGGGTTGTCAAAGTGTACGATTCTCAAACTGAATGGATTATACGTTTAGTCTATTGAGTCTCTGAAAATGAATTGGGTGCAGTGCAAAAGATGTGTTCAGGTGCGATGTAAAGACGGATTGGGAGAGGGAGTTCCGGAGGTTACAGGCGTATTAGCTGAAAGCCTTGGCCACAGGAATCCCAAGTTAGCTGAGCGGGGAGGGTGCGCAGAGGAGTAGGGTAGGAACTTGGCCATGAAGGGATTTATAGGAATAGCTGTTGGGGGGAGTTCTGTTGAACAAAGACTTCGTAAAGAGTTGCTTACATTTGGCCAATACCTCACAGCTTGATTTACACAACTCCTTCCCCTCAAAGAAATAATGTTAAGACTGCACTTTGTGATTTGCTGGACATTTTATATCACTCGTGAAGGGCAAAACCGTGCTTTACAAAGCGTATCACCAACACAAATAACAGTAGAAAACAAACCATCCCATACAAAAAGTCCACAGACAAATAAAACATCGACGTGCTACTTCAACGTGAAACAAGCAACTCGTCGGTGCGTCAGAAAACGAGAGCAATGGATTGCAAAGAAGGTAGATTTGTTCCAGAAAATGAATTTACAGCACAGTAGAGTCACCATCGTGCATTATAGCACAAAGCTTTACAGCTAAACTAAGGCAATAGGAACATATCATCCCTGACTGCTACCTTGTTGGAACGCTGGCCTTTGGGTCAGAAGATTGGGTTCACAGTACATTCTGTGAAGCAAGTTGGGGCTCACTACCCCAGGCAGACGTATAAGATCCCCACGGCACTATTCAAAAAGGGGAGGGAATCTCTCTCGGTGTCTTGTCCGACAATACCCCAAATAAAATGGGTCATTCACTTCATGGCTGTTTGTGGAATGTTGCTGCGTGGAAATTAGCTGTGGTGGTTGCCCACAACAACAATAATAATAATCTTTGCACAACTGTAAAGTGAATTGTGTGTTTTGTTAGCAAAACCTGGCAGGCAATTGCGTACAGCAGTGTCCCGTAAACAGTCGTGGATTGAGTGACCAAATTGCAATTGAACAAAAATTTTTTGAAGGGATGAGTACCCCTGGAAAAGCGATCCGCCAACTGACTAACAACCGGGTTCCTACTTACTGCTGGGTAAAAACAGGCGTGTGGAGTAAGGAAACTTGCCTAACGTTTGGCCCTGTTGGGAATCGAACTACAGCAACTCATCGGTGTGTCAGAAATCAAAGCTACCTTGTCCACTCCACAAAATACACGGTCAATTTACTTTACAGTACATTCTGTGAAGCACTTTGAGACATCTCAACGAATGTGGTAAGGCACTCTATTAAAATGCAAGGATTATTATTGTTGTTATTATCTGTGCGTACTGCCAGTGATCGAAACGCAGACATAACTGCGAGCACTGCCTTGCAACGAAATTCATGTTTATCACTTTGAAATAAAATAAAATAGAAATAAGCCAACAGCACCAAATAGGAATGCCACACTCCAATCCCCTGATGGTTCCTATCAGGCGCTAGTTAATTGCTTAGTTTTGCCGAGTTGTTTCATTGGCTTTGTCACTAACCAGCTGATAATACAGCTGCATCTTGTTTGAACGCTGGCAGTATAATTGGACCTTGAAGGTGAGGTTGGGAATCAGTATTAAGTGGTGGGGAATAGAAAAGGAGAGAGGTAATCTGGCGACTCAGGATGAGGTTTGGGTTGCTACTGTTGTGGGTTTGGTGGGACCTGTTGGGCGTTAGGGCGCAGTCACAGCCCAGGCTGAATGAACAGCCTGCGGCTGTCCAATATGTGGATTATCCCGAGGAGATTGCTTGCACGCTTTTTGGTGTTCAGGTGCGCATTCGTACGGATTCATTCCAGGGCCTGACCAGCAAGGTTTCGATACTGGGTAAGTGGTGAGACGTGATGACAACATCCCCCACCCCTCTTGCTCTATCACGTTTACCGATCCACCCTGGGAGGTGCTTTGCAATGACTTCAGACAACTTTAGTAACTTTTTTTTAGCAACAAAAGTTTTTTTTTATTATATATATATGTACTCACTCTGCATTCCCCACATCTATTGTGCTTTCACTCAGATGGGGGTGAAATTCCACTTGAGTGTTAGGTTTGCTCTTACTTTTTTTCTTTCTTTCTGAGCATCCAAGAGTTGCAAAAATGATTAGTTTTTTTTAAACTTTGAAGTTGCTTATCAGTGGTTCTTAAAGAGCTTACAGAAAATTGGCTTTAAAATTGTACAGTTGTACTTGTGTAGATCATTACAGCAATAGAAACGGGCCATTTCCTCCCCTAAATGTCCATATTCCATTATCAGCTTACAACTTGCCTGAGATGTTCATGGGCTGCGCTCTTGATACAGAGAGTAATTGGCCAAGTGGTCTGAAGTTTCCCAGAGATGCTGAACAATCCAATTGCAGAGCATAGGATATGCTGAGCTACTTGTGCAACTCTGTACACCGCACTGATGCCATGCGATTGGCGAATGCTGGAAAAGAAGCCGAGAACGCTGTCGTTGAAGGGGTTTGTTCCACCTATTGAAGTTCCAGGCATGATGTACTCCAATTGACCATAAGGAGCAATGGACAGTCTGATGACTGTTGTGCGAGGACATGCATAGAAACAGGAGTAGGCCATTCAATCTCTTGAGCCTGTCCTGCCTGCCAATTTATAAGACCATGGCTGATCTGACCTGGATCTTAATTCCAATTACCTGCCCTTGGCCTATAATCCCTTGATACCCTTAACTACCAAATATCTATCCTCCTCAGTCCAGCGAGGTGCCCATGGCCTTAAGGATCCTCTGGTGCTCATCACCTTCTGAAAAATATACACAGATCTCCTAAACCAGGGTGTAAAGCAACTAAGAGTATCTTTGCCAGGGAAGCTAAGCTGAGTGCACTCTGCCTTACACTGTTGGTAGGTTTGGGCAAAAATCAGAGACACAACATGTGCACCACTTGTTTCTGGATGATATTTTAATCCTATTTCTCTGTGGGGAGGGTTTTTTCCCCTCTGTGCCTATTCATACTCTTCCCAAGTATCTCCCCTTTGAATGTCTCAATTCTCAGTTTTTATTTTTTTTTGCCTGTTCACAAAGACATTTTACCCCCTGGAGCATTGCGTTAGGTCATGCACGTTCTTTGAGCAGAAAAGGTATTTTGTTTTCCTCCCTCCCACCCCCATTTGTAGATGACTCTGGTACATTGAGAGAGCTCTCGTCGTTGTCGAGCTGTGGATACACAATCGCACCCCAAGCAGATGGTTCTCTGCTCTTCACAACTCCATACAATGGCTGTTACGTTCATGTAATGGTAAGTGAAACGACTTGCATTTACATGGCGCCCTTTGCATAATAATCCTTGCATTGTTAGAGAAAGCTAGAAGTGATCTTAGGCACAGGTGAAGAGGTAAGCTTTAAGGTGGGACCAGAGGGAAGGAGTTCCAGAGGAGTGTGGAATCAGAAAGCCTGTGACATAGGGAACCTTCGGCAAGTCTACGTTTAGCTAATGTGCAGAATGACACCGACCGCAGGAATTAGTAAAGAAACTGTGATATGTTAAAATATTGGGTCTAACTTTGTGTGTTGCAGAGGCTGTAAACTAATGGTATTCCATGTTTTTAGGGTAACTTGGTAGACCTGGAGCTGAGGATTGATGGACATGATACGACTCAGAAGATTATGGTACTGGAACGTATTCCAGTTTCCTGTACCCGACCTTCAGCACTGCCTCCGATCATAGCTTCATTGCCGCCCAGGCTCTCTCCCTCCCTCCCACCCAGGCCCTCTCCCTCCCTCCCACCCAGGCCCTCTCCCTCCCTCCCACCCAGGCCCTCTCCCTCCCTCCCACCCAGGCCCTCTCCATCACCTGCTCCCTCGCTGGCCCTCCAACCTAGGCCTGTCCCCTCCCGTTCCTTTCTGCCCAGTCCTACTTCCTATCTATCCCTCCCACCTAGGCCCCCTCCCACCCTCCAGCCCAGCCCTGTTCCCTCGCCCATTCCCTTGCCGGCCTTCCCACCCAGGCCCGCTCTCTCACCCGCTCCCTCACTGTCCTTCCACTCCAGTCCCTCTCCCTCCCTCCTGCCCAGCCCTGGTCCCTCACCCATTCTCTTGCCCAAGCCTGTTCTCTCGCCCGCTCCCCCTCCCACCCTCCTGCCCAGGCCTATTCCCTCACATGCTCCCTCACCCTTTCCCAGACCTACTCTCTCATCTGTCATCCCGTCCAGATCCATTGCCTTGCCTGTTCCCTCATCCAATCTCTCGCTTGTTCCCTTACCTTCCTTCCTGCCTAAGCCTGTTCCCTCTCCTGCTTCCTCGCCCCTTCCTGGGCCTGCTCTCTCTCCTGTTCCCTCACACACCCTCCCGCCCAGGCCTGCTCTCTTGCCCATTCCCTCTTCCCCCTTCCTGCCCACGCCTGGTCCCTCACCCTTTCCCAGGCTTGCTCTCTCATCCGTCCTTCCATCTAGACCCGTTGCCTCACCTGCTTTCTTGCCCATTCCCTCACCCTCCTTTCTGTCCAAACCTGTTCACAGGTCTGTTCCCTCACCTGTCCTCCCACCCAGGCCTGAACCTTCAACCACTCTTTCACTTGCCCTCCCACCCAAGGTGACTCATTCATCCATTCCTAGGTCTACTCGCTCGCCTGTTACCTTGGGCCCCCTCCTGCCCAGACCCTCACCATCTCCCTCACCCCTTCCCAGACCTGCTCTCTCATCTGTCCTCCCATCCAGACCCATTGCCTCACCCGCCATCCCATCCAGACCCGTTCCCTCACCCGTTTTCTTGCCCATTCCCTTGCCCTCCTTCCTGCCCAAACGTGTTCTCAGGCCTTTTCCCTCACCTTCTCCGTCGCCCCTTCCCAGACCTGCTCTCTCCCCTGCTCCGTCCCGCACCCTCCCACCTAGGCCTGTTGCCTCACCCACTCTCTCATTCGTCCTCCCGCCCAGGGCTGTTTCCTCACCTGCTTCCTCGCCCCTTTCCAGACCTGCTGCCTCATCTGTTCCCTCGCCCATCCTCCCACCCAGGCCGGCTCCCTCTCCCATTTCCAGACCAACTCACTCACCTGTCCCCTCAGGTACCCTCCCACCCAGGCTCTCACCCTCTCCCTTCCTCCTGCCGAGTCCTGGTCCCTCACCCATTCCCTCGCCCAGGCCTGTTCTCTTGCCCGTTCCCTCTCCCACCCTCCTGCCCAAGCCTGTAACCAAATCTACTCCCTCACCCCTTCCCAGACCTGCTATTTCACCTGTGCGCCCATCCAGACCAATTGCCTTGCCCGATCTCTCACCTAGTCCCTCACCCGCTCTCCTGCCTAAGCCTGATCCCAGGCTCACTCCCTCGCCAGCTCCCTCATCCTTTCCCAGGCCTACTCTCTCATCTGTTCCCTCACCAACCCTAGGGCCTAGGCCTGTTCTCCTGCCCATCCCTGTTCCCTCACATGCACCCTCCTCCCTTCCCAGACCTGCTATCTCATCCGTTCCCATGCCCGCTTTCCTGCCAAGACCGACTCCCTCACCCACTCTCTCACACCGGCCTGCTCTCTTGCCTGCTCTCTCATCCGCCTTCCCGTCTGGGCCTATTCCCTCATCTCTTCCGAGACCCACTCCCTTGCCCCTTCCCTCGCCCTCCCTTCCTTCCAGGTCTGTTCCCTCACCTGCCTCGCCCTTTCCCAGTCCCGCTCTCTCATCCACTCCCTCGCCCGTCCTCCCAACCGGGGCTGTTCTCTCACCCCTTCCCAGGCCTACTCTCTCACCTGTTCCCTCAGGCACCCTCCCATCCAGATCAGTTCCCTTGCCCATTCCCTGGCCCTCCCACCCATCTAGGTCTGTTCCCTTTCCCAGTCCCGCTCTCTCATCCATTCCCTCGCCTGTCCTGCCAACCAGGGCTGTTCCCTTACCCTCTCCCTCACTCTTTCCCAGGCCTACTCTCTCGCCTGTTCCCTCAGGCTCCTTCCCACCCAGACCTACTCCCTTGCCCTCTCCCTCTCCTTCCCTCCTGCCCAGGCCGGTAACCACACCTGCTCACTCACCCCTTCCTAGACCTACTCTCTCGCCCGTCCAGCTGCCCAGACCCATTGCCTCGCCTGCTCCCTCACCCGCCCTTGCGCCCAGGCCTACTCCCTCACCCGGTAAGTATTCTGAAGACCTTGTATTTGTTTCTGTAGGTGTGGGATATTTGGTTGATGTGGTTATGATGCAGTACAGCTGTGCATGTTAAGCTCCATCATCCATTGGAGCCTTCAAGATGAGATCGATAAGATCCCATCTGATTGAAAGCCGCCTTCATTTCAACTAAGGCTTTGATTTCTTGCAAACCAAGAGAGAGACCTGCTCTCTTTCCCTTCTTATTTAGCTGCTCTCAACGGGGTCGGCGAGGGGGCTAAAATACCACGGGGAAAACTGCTCGTGCACGTTGATGTAGGGTCATTTCCCACTCTGTCCACCCGGTGTCGACATTGAGCTCACCGAGGCTGGTCGCATTCATCAGATTGCAGAAGAAAGCTTTCTCTGTGGGTTTCCCTTGTTGACCCAGTTAGCTGAAGGATACGATGGTTTTGACGGGAGGAATAGCGCGGATACACTTGCCAGTAAATGGTGTCAGCCCCGCACAGTTGGAAGCACTCTCGCCTCCGAGTCAGAAGGTTGCGGGTACAAGTCCCCATGTCGGCCTGGACTGCGTTTAAATTCCTGTCACTGCGCTATTTCGTAAAGCGAAATGAGTTTCACCTGGTGTCCTGGCCAATAATTACCCCCCCCACCCCCACTGCCCACACCTGGTCCAATTGGACTTTAACATCATGGCTGTTTGTGGGTTGTTGCTGCGCGCAAATTAACTGTTTGTCCACAAATACAATTGCAGCATTTACAGTAGATCCCGTAAATGGCTTTGAGACATCAACGATGTAATGAGGCGCTACATCAAACGCAAGGATTATTATCTGGAATAGAAATATGCACGTCTTTGTTTATGGGTGGGAGAGGCACTGAATCTCTAAGTGGTTTATTGATTGTTAACATGGAAGTGTACAAAACTAGAGGCTATAATGTGATTGTATTACCCCAGTCCTTGCTTAGCTCCACTGGCTCCCTTGTCACAGAGCGGATTGACTTCAAGGTCCTCACACTAGTGTTTAAATCCCTCCATTCCTTGGCCACCGCCCCTATCTCTCTAACCTCTTCTCTCCCCCGCCCCCACCTCCACAGCAGTACCCGCTGCCTCCGTTCTAATGGCTCCGGCCTCCTCCGCGTCCCCCGAATCTTCCGCTCTACCATCGGCGGCCGTGCCTTCAGCCACTACGCCCCGAAACTTTGGCATGCCCTCCCTCAACCCTTTCGCCTCACTCCCTCCTTCCCATCTTCAGGTCGCGCCTGAAGACCTTCCTATTCGACTGCGCCCCACCTTCTCCCATCCCCCCCCCCCCCGCCAGCTCGGTATTGTCCTTCACTACTTGGAAGCCCATCACTCTGTAACCTTTTCCTTTATCGCAGATGAAGGCGACACTTGTGATGTTGATGCCCAGCACCGCATAGCGTGTGGCAACCCCGCCATCAGCGAGGTGGCGTGCCACTTGAAAGGCTGCTGCTTCGATGCCCCGAGCGCAGGGACTCCTTGCTTTTATGGAAGAACAGGTTCGTGGTTTTTATTCTTGCGCTGTAGAACGCTGTGGTGGGTGGTGGAGAAAGTAGATTTCAAAAGTTTAATGGGTGACTCTCCGGGTTCCGGAGCTAAAGCGAAGGGACCTGTGTCCTGGCCAATAATCCACACACCCACCCCCACCTGATGCAATTGGGCACTCAAATCGTGGCTGTTAGCAGGGCATTGCTGTGTAAATGGACTGCCCACAAATACAGAAGGGACTGGCTGGGCAAGCAGTCGGGTTACTGGAGGTCGGGAAGCTGTTGACGCGGATTCTTATTAATCCTTTTGCGGTGCTTTTCTTTATATAAAAAAAAAAAAATGTTTTGTTTGTTTCAGAGCGTGTTGAGTGCACGAGAGACTTGTTTAGCATTGTCATCCCGAAGGATGTGACCGTTCCACCGTTGAACCTTAGTTCTGTGTCTTTGGCGAATGGAAGAGCTTCTGAATGTTCCCCTAAAGTCAGAACAGCGGCATTCATTGTCTTTAGATTTCCCGTTTCTGCGTGTGGCACAACTCAGGTGGTAAGGTGTTTTTTTTTTTTTGGGTGGGGAGTGGTGGGGGGGATTGAGGCAGTGGCAAAAGAGCAAAGAGCGGGAATCGGACGAAAAGTGTAAATACTTTACGAAGCGCGCTAAAATGTATTTACTTTTAACATAGTTTGACGGCCAAACCATCACTTACGAAACCGACGTGATAGCGGAGAGAGAGATCCTGGATGGTCCTTCTGGAGTGATTACTAGAGACAGCACTTATAGGTAAGGCTGTGAGTGCTAATGGAACACTAGTGGCTGCGCTCTGCACGGGTTCAGAGACGAGATCTCTGTACAAAAACCGCCCTTTTATTTTCTAGGAAATGAGATCCTCTTGATGAAATGGGATGCTATTTGGCTTGCGGCAGCTGATTGGTGAATTTGTAATTAATGTGTTTTTTTTGATGGTTGGCTAACAAAATACATTTTTCTTGGTCGAATATTTCTTGCTTTTATCTGTAAACCAAGAGAACTGTGAAAAACACACTACCGAGCGAGCGTGGACTTATCTAGACTCGTGCGAATGTTTTGGGGTGGGGGGCTTCTTGAGAGCTCTGTGGGCCACTTCCGGCCCGCAGGCCACAGCTTGGCCTCTACTGATCGAAGCAAAATCCCATAACAAATGATATTAGACCTGGTCTTCGGAAGTCCTCGCTCGCTGTCAATTAACCTGTTAAGATTGGTCTCCTAGGTTACATGTGGAATGTCGCTTTGCTGGAGATGCTGAGCTCCCCTTCCAGGTGCTGGTGAACACTCCAGCGCCCCCATCTCTTGTAGTGAAGGCCGGTGTCCTGAACATGGAGATGAGGATCGCGAAAGGTAAGTGGCTTGGTAGGAGGATCATCTGAAGGCTGCTCGGGTCTGTGCTTCTTGCTGATCTCGTTTTTCTCCACAGAGCAATTGTACAGCACTTGGTATGCCAAGGCGGACTACCCTGTCCTGAAATTCTTAAGGCAGCCGGTGTTTGTCGAAGTCCGAGTCCTTAACCGAACTGACGCCCACATCAATTTGATGCTGTACGACTGTTGGGCAACTCCATCCCCTGACTCTGATCACAGAACCCAATGGAGGATTCTGGTGAATGGGTAAGTCCAATGCTTTTTTTTCTCCCCCCCCCCCCCAACTGTTGCTTGTTATACTGCCTATCTCAGTTGGTTTCAGACTCTCGTCTCTGCAACAGCAGCAACAAATTACATTTGTATAGTGCCCTTCGTGTTGGGAGGACGTTCCAAGGTGCTTACAGTTAAGGAGATGCAGGAGGTTTGGGGTAGGAGAGTGATCGAAGGCACGGTCGACGAGGAGGAGGGTCTTGAGATGGGCCTTGCAGGAGGCAAGGGAGGGGACGAGGCAAAGGCATAGTGAGACGGAGTTCCAAAAGGGTGGGGGCTGAAGGTCTGACCACTGATGGCGGGCAGGGGACCAGGAGCAGGCCAGAGTCTAAGACTGAAGGTTGTGGGTTCCCACGTCGAGACTCTTGAGATTACATGGACTAGGCTGACCCTCCAGTGCCACTCGGGGTGGGGGGGGTTGTGGAAAGATGGCTGCATTGCTAGAGGTGCCGTCATTTGGATAAGGTGTTAAACTAAGATGATGATTAATCATTCTTGCATCCGTTCAGGTGGATGTTAAAGATCCCCAGGCACTTTTCAAAATAAAAGGGAGTTTCTCTCATTGCCCGAGGAAAGAATTAGAGTTGATATTCTTTGAACTGTTCCAATGAAGTAGTCACTTTTGTTTGTTCCCCTTTTTTTTTTTCTCTCCCCATCCCTCTCTTCACAGGTGCCCGTATTACGGAGACAATTACTTGACTCGATTGCACAGGGTTAACCGAAGTTCAGAGGTTCCGTTCCCAACTCATCGTAAACGGTTTGAATTGAAAACGTTTGGTTTCTGGGATTCGAAGATTCAAAACCTTTTGCATGGGAAGGTCAGAGCTCTACGCGGTGCTTGGGTTTTGTTTTAAATTTAAAAAAAAAAAAAAAAAAGTTATTGATTGGATCTGTTGAAATTTTTCAACAAGTGCTCTTTGTTCCCCCCTGTAGGCCTACTTCCATTGCAGTGCCGTTGTCTGTCACACATCTCGGATGGAAAGCTGTAGCCTACCCTGTGCTGATGACAAGCATAATGGTCTCTATTCGATATAAACTATTTAATAATAATCCTACATTTGATACAGCGCCTTATCACGTCTTCGAGACGTCTCAAAGCGCTTCACAGGATGTACTACAAAGTGGAGTGACGATGTTTTATGGGTGAAACGTAGCAGCCAATTGAAGCCGTCATATGTTTTTGTTCTCTCTCTATCTACTGCCAGTCAAAAGTAAGGCATTTTTTTGTGGGGTGGATCCTTGACTAAATTTTAATCCGATAATCATGACAGAGAAGGCCATTCAATCGTGTTGTCTGTGACTCTTCCTTTTAAGAGCAATCCTTTCAGTCCCATTTTCCTGCCATTCCCCAGTATCTGACTTATTTTCTATCATATTTATCTTTCCCTTTGAAAACTGATACTTCTACGGAGTCCTGTGTACTGTATTGGGCTAAATGTTCAGTTCCCAACCCTGGATGACATGATAATATGATGATAAATGATGTGCAACAGAAGTTACTATTGAGTTGATTAGGGAACCATCCCTAGGAAATAACCCCTTAAAATAGCTTTAGAAATCTTCTTCGGACTGAAGTGGAGTCCTTTTTTTTGTAGCCTTTTTTTTTGTAGGCCTTCATCTACAAAATACAGTCACTACACTTTACCCTGAGAAGTGCTTCGAGATGTATTTCTGACATGAGAAACATGGTATCAAATGATGATTTTAATAGACGGTTGATGGTGCTTTTCATTTTAAAGCTTAAACGGGAAGTACAGCAGTCATTAAACTGAAGAAAACTGTAAAATACAATCTTATAGTTTAAGCCTTTCCTAAAAGATGTGGATTTTTTTTNCCGTGTGTGGAAATATTATAATTGTGTGTGGTTTTTCTTTTTTCTTTCGTCGCCAGGATTCAAAAGAGAAGCAGAAGTTGATGTTCAAAGTGAACCTGTCCAAAGACGACTGGTGACTCTAAAGTCACCCATAATCTTCGCTCCTGAAACTGCAGCAAAGACTGTCTCAAAATCCTCTCAAATACACGGTACGGACTGTAAACCTACACCTCGAATGCACGTGAGATCGAACTCCAGCCTCTCAGCCTCGATATACGTGCAAAATGTTATATCCCAGCTGATCTGGCAATGAGCAAGTAACTACCAATTGAAATAAAAACAGACGGCGCTGGGAACACACAGCAGGTCAGGCAGCATCTATGGAGAGAGGAAAATTAGGTAACATTTGGGTCAATGACCTTTCCTGAAGCATTAACTAATCGACAAATAGTCCACTTGAGACCAAGACCAGAGCTCTATAGGGGAACCTGACATGTGGAGGAGCTGGTTGATGTGTTCAGGGAGGGCACTAGTTTTCCAGGTAAAAACTTGTTCATTTAGGAAAATGACTCTGGCCATTCCTGGATCTTTTGTCTTTACAGAAAGCCTCTCTGGTGTCATTCTGCTGGGAGTAGCTGTGGGTTCGCTGCTGATAATCTTAATGTCGGGAGTGACCATGTGCTGGAAATGTCGGGAGTTGCAGCAACATAAGTCCACTGGTTCTCGTTCTCCGTAACCAAACCCATTGCTGTTGCGGTGCCGTTTTTGTAAGTTGGCGTGGGAGTGAGTTCTCAGTTAGCCGGACGCTTGACTATTGCAATTAATTTCCTAGAGGCTCCCCCCAAAAAAAGACGTTTATCTGTAATTTTTTTTGATATTATTATAACCGCAACAGCAACCTTTCATCTTAAGTTCTCCCCCAAACTCTCTGTAAACGTGTCCAGGAAATTCCTGTGGAACGGACACGGTTTAGTACCGCACCGAGGAATTCGGGATGGGTCAGGGCTCTGAATTTTAACCCTTCTGTTGAACTGATGCGTTCCTCTCACTAGTGAGATGTTTGCCTCCTTTGCAAATCGACCACCATTGCTCGTCTGGTTTCAAAGGCAAGTGGTTGCCACCAGCTGCATTGAGGGGGGGAAACCAAGAGAAGGATAGAGAGACTGCTGGTTTGTAGATGTGCCCTTATTGGCAGTGCATATGCGGTGGGGGGGTGTGTGGGAGAGAAAAGCGATGTTCATAAGAACAGCGAGAGACTTTTCTCACTAGATGGAACCCTACTTTAAGCAATCTGATCGTTGTAAATGTTGAATTTGCCACCGGATGGCACTGCACAGAGTTGAATCCAAGCCCTCCATTGCTGTCAAAAGCAAACGTCCCTTCTGCACAAAAACTGCTCACGTTGCCCTTCATTCTGACGTTAGTAGATTTGCTCTTTGAGAGAAACCCAGGCGCAGGGTGCTGTTGTGCTCTGTCACTCACTCAAAACCTCTGGAATGAGTAGCTCAAATGCAGAATAAACTAGTTGTGTGAAACGTGTGCGAGTATGTGGTTTTTTTTTTTTGCTTGTTGAGTGTCAGGGAGATTTGAGGAATTCTTTGAAGTGTGAGCTTATTAGGTGAATTCTCTCCTACCACTCACTTGGTACTCATCCCAATATCTTCTCTGTCTCCTTTCTCTTTGTCTTTATTCTTTTCCCTCCCCGCCATTTCCACAGTTGGGTGGTTGGTTGGTGTGCAACTAAACTGAGTGGCCTATACCAATCTATCAGTGTATGTTCTTCCCAGTTTACCATTGTGTTCACTATCCTTTGGCAGCAGAAGGGAGGCAACAAAGGGTCCATCTGTGTGTGTGTGTGTGGGTGTGTGCATCACAAAGGCAGACGACTCTCTTTTCTTCAATGTTACTTTATTGTAAAAAGCGAGAGAAAAGGCCATTCTGGAGAAGCAGAGTGGGGAGGACTGTTGGGAGAGGGGAGAAAAGTACAAGTGAAGCTGCCTCTAGGGTTCAATTCCAACTGGGATGAGTGAGCCGAGCAGTAAACAGCACTGCAACTGATCTCAATGCCCCTGAGTTGAGAGGAGACAAAACCCAGCCAGGATTCCTGCACCTGATCTTCCTCAGTCACAGCTGCTGGATGTGTGTAGGGATTGAGTGGAGCTCTGAGGTGACAAAGCTGTGATGTCTCTCTCAGTCAACCATCGTCCAACCACTCAATGCCCAGAGGAAAGGGCACATCAGCCAAGGCTCCCCAAATGCATTGACTCCTCGAGGAGAAAAAAGGTGGAAGCTAATTTATTTATATATGTTTATTTTTAGAAAAAAAGCTTGTTAAGAAGATTAAAGTCCAATTAACTTCCGTCCCTGTACTTTGTCTTCAGGTTTGACCTTCCAGTGCTCAGCACTTGTCTCGTTGCAACGAGTTTCTGTTGAAATATGTGCACCTGACAAAGTAGGTGGCTCTTCTCAGCAAAATCCATGTCCTGGGCATGCTGAACTCTTAGCGAAAAAGGGAATAGAGCGAGAAGGGAAATGGGTTGAGGCTTGAATGGATTATATTGAAGAATTAGGCCAAATTGTCTCGTTTGGATCCTGTACAGTTTGTAATATGTAACCCTGGCAAAATACAGACACACATCCCCAACCCCATCCCTTCCCTCTCTCCCCCCGCCCGCCCGAAGGCTTTCACCCCGGTTCTGACTGTCAGTCACAAAGTGTTTTTTAAAACCGGTTCATGACAATTCTACCGCATGGACACACGCACTTCAAAGAGGTGGAGTGGGCTGATGGCGACGGAAACCTGATCTGTTAAACAAATATATATGTATATATTAATCCATCTTTCCTCCACAAAGAAAATGAGTTGGGTCAATGTTAACCAAGCCAAGGCCAAGAGAGTCTAAATATGCTCTCTGGGTGGACATGAAATGTGATTTATCAGACTGTTAAGACCCTCTTGACTAGGTCACAGCAATGTAACTGTCGAGGATACTTGACTTTCTATTTAAACCTAATAACATTTTATATACTTTATTTAAACCTCATGGCTGGTTGCATTAGACACTTTTGTGTGCAAATCTGTTTCCTCCCCCACCACCACCACCACTAGCCTCCAAATACGCAGTCATAAATTTAACAGCCGTTACTAGAAAGTGCTTTCAGATGTTCTGATTTAATAAGGACTGCATCAAACTGCAAGGATTATAATTATTATTACCATAAACCGATTTACCATCAGGATTTTAAAATGTTTTCTAGATCGAACGTATAAAATCTTTTTTTAAACCACGGTGCTGCTCACAGACCAGCCTGGGAAACCTCCAGCAAATTATGTTTAACTTGATTTTTTTTTAATGCAGTACAGGTTACATGTTTCTAGGTCTCATCTGTATTCTCTTGAGGATTGGAATAAATTTTCATGGCAGAGAGAAAGAGAAGTCAGTGAGGGTGACAGTAAAGGGAGCTTTCAATGAGACTGGCTCCTGCTTTGTCCCTCATGCCCTCTGTTCCACCATCAGTGGCTACACTTTCAGCCACTACACCCCCAAAATCTGGAACGCTCTTCCTCTATCCCTCCACTTCACCCCCTCCTTCCCCATCTTCAGGTCGGGACGCTACCCTGTGCAAGGGGCGTTGCGTAAATGCAAGTTGTGGTTGTTTGTGATCATTAGGAGCTGAGCAGAGTTGGGTTAAAATTCTGCTTTTATGAAGGAATGTTTGCGTGCTTGCTCACATCGAGTCTTACCAGTGGAGCTGAAATCAACATAGTGAACTGCAATGCTATTTACTAACTGGTCCCTATACTGTACAAGCCCCAAGCATTAAACGCAACAGGCTTGCCAGCTGGTGGGGAGAATCGGTAGGGAGGGTGTTCTGGAGGGGATGAGATCAGATGAGCCAAAGAGCCTTCTTCATCTGAGCTGATCTTGTGGTCTCTGGATATCGAGCGGGAGGAGGAACCTTGGCTAAGCATTTCTCACTTCCCTAACCAAGGTTGTGGGTGGTCGATTTGGAGCATCACTATATGGTCACAGGCCCCTTCCCCGCTGATATCAGCACAGGTCGGGCAACAAACGTGGGACTTCACTGCTCTGTAGGGCTTGGCCGAACATTTGAGCATCTACCATCGTGTGTCTTCAACTAGGATGCGAGGGGGTGGGTGAGGAGGCTATCAGATGTTGACCAACGCTGTTAAAGGGGGCTCAAGAATCATCGGGGCTGCCTGCCCTTCCCACATCCGCCCGCAACTTTGAATGAACAGGATATTGCTTTGGTTTTGCTGGGGGTTGAGCTTGGCGGTGAGGGTGGGACAAGCGGGTTCACCTTCATTGTCGAGAGAAAAATTAACAACCGACTGCACCTCTCAACTGAGACTCTGTGTCAGGAAACTCCACGTTAAACCCCAGAGCTTATATCATGATTTAATACAGTATCAAAGCTGAGCCTGTACAAATAGTTTGGTATCGCAGTTTGTATATAATACTATGCAAACAATAGGAAAAAAAAAGGTGTTAACCCATTGTCGGGGCTTAGTCATTAAGGGGCTTTGCCCCAATCGCGCTAAAATGCATCGGGCAGGTCTGACTTTTGAAACGTCTTTTAACCCCTCGTTGTCCTCACCAGATTTCCCAGCCAACCGTTCTGCTCCCGGTGGAAAGTTTCCCGACTGGAAGATTTTTTTTTGTGTGTGTGTATGTGTTTTTTTTGAATCGAGGACGAATTGCGATGCAGTTCAGAGTTAAGGTTTTCAAGGTTAGCTGGAAAGGGATCAGTATTGGGTACATACGGAATATCTGGTTACCTGTCGTGTAATTCAAAGCTCACCCCTCAGACATTCCCGTCTCTCTCTCTCTCTAAACAGTAAATATGTCGACAATGTACTGTTTTATTAAATCTTCCGAGAAACGATAGATTTTCAAAAAGATTTATTATCAAAATAGTTTCTCCCGGCATTTGACAAATCCCTTTGTCGGTCTTTACAGGATTCTGACAAGAGCTGGCACAGAGCTTTGTGCGTTTATCCCCCACCCCCCCGCTCCACCCCCCTCTCTCTCTCTCTCCTCCTCTCTATCAAACTCTCTCTCCCCCTCTCCCCACAGTTAAAATGTGGAGTCCCATAGTTTCTGACCCGGGTTCAATCCCCGGGCAGGGAGAAACCTTAGGCAAGTTTCCTTACTCCACATGCCTCTGTTTACCCAGCAGTAAGTAGGAATCTGGTTGTTAGTTGATTGGTGGTAATAATCCCTCCAAATAAATAATTTGGTCACTCAATCCACCGCTGTTCGCAAGAGACTGCTGTGCACAATTGGCTGCCATGTTTCGGCTAAAACAAATACACAAGTCAATTGACTTTGCAATATATCCTGTGCTTTGAGACGTCTCAACAACGTGATAAGGCGCAATATCAAATGCTGTAAGTATTATTAATTAAGGGGCTGCGTTTCCACTTCCCAGTCCTAGTTACACAATAGCACTACTTTCAGAAATTAACAAAAAATGTGGTTTCAGTGCAAATAATACCAAATGCAGGAAAGCCTTTGCTTGGTGGGGAATGAGAGAGGGGGAGGAAGGAAGTTTACTGACACAGAAACCCAACGGGGAAGAAGGAGCATTCCGCTGACCTTGAAAACCTTGGTTGGGGGTAGAGAGAGAGGCAAACTTTTTTTTTGTCCCAAACTCGTTGTTGGGTGACTCCTTTGAGCCATCTGGTTGGAGGGTGATAAGGTGCAAATATCAAATGCGAGTTTAATTATTACGGTTAATCTTTATCGGCCTCCTCGTCGGTGAGGGGGATCTCCGTCTCGGTCAGAGGTGATGTGGCGGTGTCGGTGGTGGTGGTGAGGAGTGCTGGTACAGTTCTGGGCGTCTGGTAAGAGGAGCCCAGGGCAGAGAGGCCAAGTCTGGGCTCACGAGCGCTGGTCTGTTGTTGTTGTTGTTGTTGTTGTTGCCCATATCGCCACCTCGCCTGCAGGAACAGCTCAGGATCTGGCATTGGGTCCAGTTCATCCCAGCACACGTCTCTCCTTTGCCGTCCGGTTTCCCTCCCCGCAGCTCTGTCGGCGCAGCCCAGCTCGCTCTTCCGCGAGTGCGACTTGCAGCTCCTCTTCTGCGAGACGGCCACATAGACTGGGGAGGTGGGCAGGGGTCTGTCCCACACGGGGGGCTTGTCTCTGGGCTGGCTGCTGGCCCGCGAGCTGCTGAGTCTCTGTTTCGCGCTGCGCAGCTGGAACGAGAGAGAAGCCGCCGTGTCGGACTGTTTCTGCAGCTCGGAGCTCAGCACAGTCACCCTGTGACTTCTCTTCTTCAGTTCCTCCAGGAACATCCTCTCCCTCTTCCTCATGCTGTCCTCCAGCGCGCTGATCAGTGCCTCCTTGTGGTACAGTTCCCTCCGCAAGGCCGAGTTCTCCAGCTCCTTCTCGCTGATCTTCGCCTCAAGGGGCTCGCAGTTCACCTCCCACTCTGCGGGGTCTACAAAGAGACAATAATAAATAATAATAATAATCCTTGTATTTGATACAGCCCCTTATCACGTCTTCGAGACTTCTCAAAGCACTTCACAGGATACACTGTAAAGTGAATTGACTGTATATTTTGTGGGTGAAATGCGGCAGCCAATTACGCACAGCAGCGTCCCCACAAACAGTCTTGGATAGAAGGGACCAATTCATTTTTTTTGAAGGACTTATCACCCCCGGAAAAGCCATCTGCCAATCGACTAACCCAAGGTTTCGTCCTGCCGCGGAATCGAACCCAGGTCTCTCGCTTGTGAGGCCGGTGCTCCAAACACTGAGCTACAGGATTCCGCAGTTAAATTCAGTTGAACACTTTGCCTCTGTGGCCTTCCAAAGCCGGATCAACCTGCCCGCTCCCTCCGCTCGGTGGGCACTGGCCTGCTTCACATTCCCCCGCACTGCCAGCCCCACCGTCGGCAGTCTGGGGGGAGGGCATTCACCCTTTTTGCTGCCACCCTCTGGAACCTTGACCCTGTGTCCTCTTGTTTTGCTGCCTTGGCACATTCCCTGAAAGTACTGTCCCCGAGTTCACTTTCTCAGTCTCATTTAAAAGTCCGATCACGCGGAACGATGAATAATTCATAAATGCCGTCTTTATCTGAATGTCAGCTCTGTTCCTTGCTCTACTATTTCCCCAGAACTTTCCTTGCCTGCCTCGATCCTCCCGTTGCTCCAGGTTAGCAGTCCTGTAGCTCAGTGGTTAGAGCACTCGCCTCACACGCGAGAGACCTGGGTTCGATTCCTGGCCAGGGTGACCCAAGTTTCCTTACCCCACGGGCCTGATAATAATCCCTCAAGAAAAAGCAGCAATAATAAATTGGTCACTTCAATCCACCACTGTTTGTGGGGACGCCGCTGTGCGCCATCGGCTGCCGCGTTTCGCCCGCAAATTATTACAGTCAATTCACTTTACGGTATATTCTGCGAAGCGCTTTGAGACGTCTCGAAGACGCGATAAGCCGCTGCATCAAATGCAACGATTATTATTTATTATAAGCTCGCTGGCTCGGTGTCGTGCTCCGCCACGGGCCAGCGCTACGAGACGCTACTCTGCACGAGTGGTGCTATATGAATGTAAGTTGTTGTTGAAACCCAGGCCTGATCTCACCTGGTTGCTGCTATTCACCCGAGCTCCTTTCCTGGACTCTTTAAGGACTGACCATTCAGTTTGGTTTGACGACTCGAAGAAAATTTTCGCACAGTATTATTAATCACTTTATATTCCGTTTACAAACTGCGCATGTATAATAAATAAACACATGGTGAATAAAGAATGCTTGCATTTGATACAGCGCCTTTCACATCGGACTGATAGGGTAGGATTTACTGTAAAGTGTAGCGACGGTGTATTTTGTAGGCCAACGTATAATGCTCTGCTTATAGATTTATTATGCAAACTCCAGGCACTGCAGCTCACAGTCCCCTAAACACAATAAAACCAAAATAGTTGAATGGAAAGCGAAACACTCTGCAGTTTTCTCAGCAGGCGTGACTAGAGTTGCCTGATAAACGGACAGTGAGTTAGATGCTGGCTGCATGTAGTCAGACACACAGAAACAGAGCGATGCATATTCAATATAATGACTATTTTGTGGGTGAAACACAATTTTTTTTTTTATCTGAGACACTTTATCTGCAGACTTGTTGGCCTGGCGTTTACCTGGATGATCTGCCTTTGCAAGATCTCCCAAATACGATCCACTGACAGGCCAGTGGTACGGGATGAATATTGCTGAAACCTGAGAGCTAGAGATTGTGCATCATCTTCAGATCCTGGCTAATCCGGGAAGGTGATCTCTAAACTGGGATTTAACAATCATATCATGTAATGAAACCTCAGCTTTTCCAACTGAAGGTCAGAGAAGGTTCCCGCAAATGGCTCCCAGCCAAACAGGCAACGTGACCTTCAAATACAAATTTCTGGAGCCTATAATTTCCACGTTTTGGGTTTAGGTTACCAAGAAAACAACGAAGTGGCTGTAAAATGAGACGCTGTCCTTATTTATCTGTACTGTACTGACACATTGTTTTACACGTTGATTGTAATTTGGGCTCTGGATAGCATCTCGTTTCAGTGTAACGGTAGCTGTGAGAATTAGAACGCAGGTATCAGTCAGCCTCGCTCAGTTGGTAGGTCGCACTCTCTCTTCTGAGTGAGAAAGTTGTGGGTTCGAGCCTCACGTGGGGATTTTATTGGAACTCACACACACACACACACAGTTCCGGGGATGTGCTGCACTATAGCAGGTGCCGTCCTTGGGGTGAGACGTTAAACCTGGGTACCGTCTGCCTGGAGGTTAAAGATTTTGAGGCAGTATTCTGAAGGATAAGAGATTTTCTCCTGGTGTCCTGGCTAACAATCCCCCAACGATATCGGTCATTCACTTTCTGGCTGTGCACAAAATGGCTGCCACGTTCACCTACGAGATACACAGTCACTACACTTTGAGACAAGCAAGAGGAAGATTTTCAAATGCCGAAAAGATTTGGTTTAGGCTTTGTTTCTCATGGACGTAAATTGTGGTTGAAGCAAAAAAACATTAAGAGGAAACTTGGTGCATTTTTGAGGGAGAACGGAATAGAGAGATCTGGGTAAGGGATATGGAGGGGTGGAGGCTTGTGTGGGGTATAAACACTAGTGTTGTTTATTTAATAATAATAAACCTTGCATTTGATATCTCGCCTGTTCGCGTCTTCGAGACGTCTCAAAGCGCTTCACAGAATACACTGTAAAGTGAATTGACTGCATAATTTGTGGGCGAAACGCAGCAGCCAATTGCGCACAGCACCGTCCCACAAATAGTCGTGAATTGATTGACCAAATTATTATTAATAGTAGTAGTAGTATTAAGGGATTATTATAGATAAATAACTCCCAGAAGCACAGCACCAGGATGGTTGTTGTAACTTACAATTTGGATTCTATTTTGTGTTGATATATAAGGATTTCCAATCCAACCCAACCAGATCTATCCTGGACATTGTAATGGATGATTCACTTTCCCACTAATTGGGTGGAATCCTTCAGAGCAGTGTATTTTTCATAATTATTGATTGCATTGGACTTTTCATTACTTTAAAATGGGAACTTACATCATCCTCACGAGAGCAGCAAATTGTTCATATCGGTCATAACTTCGAAGTGTGTTTGGATTATTATTATTCTCATTAACTTCGAAGTTTGTTTTTTTGCTGCGCTTCAAAGGAACTTCAAAGCTGAAAACCATCTTCAAAATTAAGGCTGCATTTAATAATAGTAATAATAATTAATGATCCTTGATTCTGATGCAGCGCCTTATCACGTCTTCGAGGCGTCTCAAAGCGCTTCACGGAATACACTGTAAAGTGAATTGACTGTGTTTTGTGGGTGAAAAAATGTAAGTTTTTAAAGCCAATTTCTGAAGAGCTGGGTGAAATATTTTCCCCTCTACAGTGCCACCTTACGCTTCTCTGATTATTGACTGACTACTTTCGAGTGCTGTCCTACAAACCGTTTCTTTGACGATGTCTCTGGTCATGAAAGCTTGGTGGAAGCCACTTGGACAGGTGGACTGTGTACTGGGAAGGAGGAATGTTCCTTACCTGACTGATCGCTTTTCGGTGGCTTGAGGGCGAGTTCGTACGTCAGCTCTGTAAAATAGGGGCAACGGCATATCTCAGTACAGTGGTCGTCAGTGTTAGCTCACCCTGGTAGACACAGCAGAGAAGACCATTTGGGTCCACGTTAAAGGGAGGAATTACAACAACAATGACTTGCATTCATATGGTGCCTTTCACGTGGTATAGCGACTCGAAGCGCTTAATGGTGTTGTGGCTTGATGCCGAGCCAGGGAGGGAGGGGAGGTGACCATAAGTACGGTCGAAGAGGAAGTCTTCAGGTGCAACCGAAAAGAAATGCAGAAACATCGAAACAGAAGTAGGCCATTCAGCCCCTCGAGCCTGTTCCACCATTCGAAAAGATCATGGCTGATCTGTGCCTCAACTCCAATTACCCTCCAACTCCAATGGGCCCTTGCCCCATATCCCTTGATATCTTGACCTAACAAATGTAGAAACAGGAGTAGGCCATCCAGGAAGATGGGCAAGATGGGGGTGAGGGAATGGGGACGTTGGAGGGGGGTGGGGATTGAGGCAGGGAATTGGGTAAGTTGGGTGCATCTCTGAGGAGAGAGCGCTCATTTCCACTTCCAGACGCAGGAAAATTTCCATGCGTAGCTAAGGTGGCATGTGTATGTGGAACTCTCGGTCTGGTTGAAATACCCTTTAGCACAAAACACAGTCAATTCACTTTACAGTGTATTCCGTGAAGCGCTTTGAGACGTCTCGAAGACGTTATAAGGCGCTGTATCAAATGCAAGGATCATCATCATTATTATTATTAAATTCAGCCTTCATTTTGATGGGTTTCTGCACGTGTTGCACGGAGGTGGGGGGGGAGGGGAGGAGAATTGTATCTCCCGCCGGCAATTCTCTGCAGTACTTCAGTGCAATGCATTGAAAGTTCAAACATTGGCAGAGGCGAGACTATATTTAGGTTGGAATAGATGCCCCATGGCAGCATTAACCCACATTTCTCTCTGTGCTGCCGGATCTTGTGGATGTTGTTTAATTCGGTAGCGTCTCGTGGCTTCCCCCCCCTCCCCCCACCCCCCACCCCACCCATGCGATGAGACCGAGCAGTTGGCGAGACATCACCCTGCAAGATAATTCCTGCCGAGTTATCATCAGACACAAAGCCATGTGCTGAGGGCAGCAGGGAGGAGCCTAAACACACTGACAGCTGTGGCACAGTGGGAGGGGGGGGGTTTAAAGGGCTGTTATTCAACCAGCCACAAGGGTTCTGCAGCCTCAACACATCCAATCCACCCACGCAGAAACTCCCGTCACTCCCGCCACCGAGAAAGACAAACCCCAGAGTGCAGACTCGTGGAAAAAGTCGGAGGTCCAGAATGTCACTTAGTTTTAGTGACCGCAATACTGATAATAATTGTGCTGCTGCTTTTCCTGACAAATACACAGTCACTTAATTTCACAGTAAATCCTGTAAGGCTCTTTGAGATCCACTTCCGACGCGATAAGGTGTTACACCAAACCCAAGGATTATTATTAAAATTATTTATAGGTGCAAATTTCTTAACTGTCCAGCGCCTTGTTGTGGTTACAGTATAATAATATATAAAGCGCCTTTCACATCGGGAGGACATCCCAAAACGGCTTCAAAGGATAATTGTGGCATGGATTGACTCTGTGCGCATTTTGTGGGCAAAAAAAATGCTTCTGCTTTTGAAAAAAAAAGGCCTTGCAACATATTGCATTTTAATTAACTTCTTTCGTGACCCAAGTGATTTAGTTCAAGTGTTGCTGACACTGTTCCTGGTCCAACAAATCACTCAAATGGCTCAGAGAGGCATTCACTGGTTCATCGAGGCTGTGTCCAGTGGGAATTACACTGAAAATCCAACAGGTACGAGAGGAGCCGGGATATAATAATAATAATTATAATAATAATCCTTGCTTTTGATATAACGCCATATCATGTCTTCTAGACATCTCAAAGAGCTTCACAGCATATACTGTAAAGTGAATCGACTGTATATTTTGTGGGCGAAATGAGGCAGCCAATTGCGCACAGCAGCGTCCCCACAAACAGTCGTGGATTGAGTGACCTAATTATTCTTATTTTATAAGGGATTATTACCCCCGGAAAAGTGATCTGCCAATCGCCTAACAATCGGATTCCTACTTACTGCTAGATAAACAGAGGTATGTGGGGGAAGGAAACTTGCCTAACATTTCGCCCTGCCCGGGAATCAAGCCCAAGTCGTTTCGCTTGCGAGGTGAGTGCTCCAACCACTGAGCTGCTTGACTCCAAAGCCAGACCCAGGACCTCGTCTTTTTATGAACTGAAAATGTCCCAATTAAATAAACTTGTTGTGACGTCCTTAGACCAAAAGTCAAATGGTCTAACTGAGGCCCTCCTCGAGTCAGAAGGCGGTGGGGGGTGTGGTTAGGAAGGGACTGAAATTCCAATTTTAGCTTTAACGCCAAGGTCTTAGATTCAGGTTGTGCAGGATTTGGGAAAATTCCGAAGTCCAGCCTGCCTCCGTTTGAGAAGCTGGTTTTCCGCAGTTCATAAAAAGACCAGGTTCCGGGTCTGGCATTAGGCTGAAAAGTTACGATTGAAATGACGGGTCGTTTCAGAACATTCTGCATCTTGTCTCCTCCCATTCTTCTCCTCTCACTACCCTCCCACCCCTCCGCCCTTCTTCATCCCCACTAACCAGATAGAGGATGGGACTTAAAATATTATACTCGCTGAGAACCTAATACAGCGAGAGCTGAGAGTCAAACGTACCACAGCAGACAGAGTGGCTGCTGCTCTGTAAGCAGGTCCCTGGGGGCAGTGAGAAAGCTTTGATGGATCAAGCGGTCTCTGATTCTCTCTCTCTGAGCTCAGCCCACTGACGTATTGTCCCTTATTTCACCTCTGTTTACCTAGCAATAGGTAGGAACCTGGTTGTTAGTCGATTGGGGGATCACTTTTCCGGGGGTGATAATCCCTTCCAAATAATAAAAAATAAAAAAAAAGTGGTCACTCAATCCACGGCTGTTTGTGGGACGCGGCTGTGCGCAATTGGCTGCCCCGTTTCGCCCACAAAATGTACATTCGATTCACTTTACCGTATATTCTGCGAAGCGCTTTGAGACGTCCTGAAGACGTGATGAGGCGCTGAATCAAATGTAAGGATTTTCAATTTAATAGGTGAAATGTATTGATTTATAACCACAAGGCAAGCACACCCACACAGTCTCTGGCCTTTCGTGTCCTCTATAATATATTATATATATATTATATTACATTATAAATTATCATATTACATGTTATAATGTATAATAATATAAAAAATATATAATATAGCTGCGTATCTGAGCTCTGGCTCTCAGTAGCACCTTTTTAAGAACTGCAGATAAAGAGCATCCAGGTTTAGCCTGAATTTATGAATTTTGCCCAATTTCTGCACCGTCTTAAACCCTGAGTCAAAACGGTCTCACGGGCTGAGGGCGATGGAGTTTGGGGCCTGTGTTAGCCGAAAAGATTCAGCCGGGGAAGTGTAAGACGTTCTTTTTCACCCTCCTCCCGAAACAACCAGATTTATTAAACATGAAGGTGCCCCAGATACTGAGTGTCAACACTTCATTATCAGTCCTGTCATCCGAGGGCCTTTTACTGCTCCCACAACAACAACTTGCATTTATATAGCACCCTTCACGTGGGGTAGCGTCCTGGAGGGCTTGACGCGGCGGAGTCTGACCTCGAGTCGGCGGGGGGAGGGAGGGGGGCAGGGAAGAGGGAGGGTGGAGGTGACCGTAAGCACGATCAAAAAGGAAGGTCTTTCTCCTGCAGCCAGACGCCTAACGCAAGCTGACACCTGAGAGCTGGGATGAGTGTCTGGGTTTGTGAGAAGCAGCAGAGCCCAGACTAACCCAGAGAAGCAACTGTACTTGTCGCTACTTGTCACACTGTTTACTGGGGGCTGTCGTGGCGGCAGGAGTTGGGATTCCAATCAATAAAATCTAATCATTTTCCCCCAATTTTTATTCCAATTCGCTCCTGCTTTATTTGCTGCGGCAGAAAATAATAGTACCGAGCTCTGAGACCATCCAGGTACTCTCTGCTCATCCCTGCTCGGTGGTGACAGAACAACTCCCACACGCAGCGTTCAAACATCAGGCCTGCCAGCTCTCCAGTCACCTGCCCATGCCCTGCTCCAGCCCCTCCTCAATCACAGTCCCATGGAGCCCTCAAGAGCTGCACAAAAAAGGATGTCAGCGCCATCCATCAGATGAGACGTTGAACCCGAGGCCCCTTGTCTGTGGGTGTGAACCTCTCTTGGGTAGTGTGGAGCTCTCTCACCCAAAGGCATGTGGATTATGGCTGGATGCATTCACATTTTCGAGACCGAGGTGGACAGACTGACGTCCCAATCCCTGACTGTCCAGCGCCTTGAGACGTCCTCCTGACGTGAAAGGCGCTAAATGGACGTAACTTTGTACTGTATTGTATAGATATTTGTCAGGTCAGGGTATTAAGGGATACGGGGCAAGGGCGGGCAATTGGACTTGAGGTAGAAATCAGCCATGATCTCATAGAATGGCAGAAACAGGCTCGAGAAACTGTTTCTATGTTCCTAAGATGATTGCTGCTTGGATAAGCAGACAGCTGGGGGCAGATTAGCTGCTTGTTTTGCCTGAGTGACCACCTCACTGCTCTTACCCCACATTGACATTCACCTTATTATGGCCAAATGGTTTATACGTTCCGTTTGAAGTTTCAACACGAATGTTTCATCTAAACGCTGGCTGGCTGGCAACCCGCAGCCCATTTGGAGTATGTTCTGATTAGTATAATTCTTCTTGTGGAAGGCTTTAAAGTAATGAGTAATTTCCTACAGGTCATGCATACGTATGATCCCATTTCCATCTCGTGGATAATATTAGATAATATTCTTAAGCTGACAGCCCGGACATAATGTGCGGCTTTGCTTTGCTCCTCACAAGACCTCGAGTGTCCCTTCAAATAAGTGGGGTAACATGTGGATTCGGGGTTTGGGTGAAGGTTAAGGGTTAGG